TTTGTATTTTTTTATTCTAAATACTGGAGTATTTTTCTGTTTAGGATCTGAACAAATCTATTATTATTATTGTTTGTATATATGTTTCAATACTTTCATTTACATTTTACATACATTTATTTCATTTTTCTATTTATTTTATACTTTAAAGCCAGGTTTATCTCGTAACGAAACTAGTTAATATCTAATGGAATATTATTCCAGTCGGTACTGCAGAGGGACAGTAAGTTTTTATTTTGTTGAATCTCTACATAATATTGACACCAACAGTTTTAGTACACGAAATACTAAATAATATAAGTTAATTTTCACTTTTAATGAAAATTATTCTTTCTGACGCAGTTCGCCAGCATTTTTCATTTTCTGAATGTCAAATTAAAGTATTCCAATTACTGGAATAAACATGACCATTGGACGCTAAAACAAATGGTATTAGTTTCATTTTAATTAGTTTACATCTAAACTGAAGCCGTGAAATGTTAATTTGATTCCTTTCTAAAAATAACTCACAAAACCATATCCTCGTTAGCCCTCATAGTATTACTTTTTTAAAAGGCGCCACAGGAACTTGTTACGATAAATACTGAAAGCGAAATAGAGCATGAGAATTGCTTATTATAACACATAGAATGGACGTTGTCTCCTGGCTAAACTTGAAATTCATTTGTCGCTTTGTTAAGAACTCTATCCAAATTTTCCGTAACGGATAAAGCTATGTATTAATTTATCACCGATCTTGCATGCACTGTATCAATATGTCTAGATCCGCACTCCGCACTCGGAATCGACGTTGCGGCGCGGGCGGTGCGATGATTCAGCTCGCAGACAACATCAGACTCATGTCATCACAAACAGAGACTTGTCTTCAAGTAGAAACTGCTGTCGTTGACAACGTGACCCCGACAACCCCGCGCCTCCCGGTCCCGAGTCGCTCTGACCCGCGATAGCTTATCTGGCGAGCGCACAAACAATGTATTGTGTCTTTGCATACAGATAATTGCTACGTAGCTTACTTGTTACCTACAGGCTACAGCACGCGGCCTTTGTTATACACATTTTATTTTATAAATACGTTGGGTCGTTAACACACAGCACCATCTAGTTCCACGGTAAGCTAGGAGGCTTGTGTTATGGATACCAGATAGTTGATACACTAGACATATATAACTTTAAATCAAACCTTCGTTATCACACAAATGAATGCCCCCAGCGGGACTCGAACCCGCGACCGCTGGCACAGAAAGTAGGGTCATTACAAACTGAGCCACCGAATGTAGTCAAACATTTAAGTATAATACTTAGTATCAATTCTACGTTTCCATACGAACGGTTCAGATAACGTAGACGACATTCGTACTTGTCTGCCTGTTTGTTTGTCTACCGTCTACTGGACAGAGTTTTTTTATCTTAATGAAATTATGAAGGGTCCTAATGGCGGGCGGCCTATGTACCTACATACGTTACATATATCAAATGAAAATGTCCGTTGCACATATTGAAGGATATAAAAATACGTAATTTAAAATTTTAAAGAAAGCAAAAAATATAGGAAAAATGGGCTTTCCGTATTTTGGCATTGCGAGTAGCTACTCATAAATACAAGTACCTACATCATATTCGAATAGATTATAATTTGGAGTCACTCAACAGCTGTAAGCTACTAGTAGGTGCGAGCGATGTGAACAACTCGCTAGATAGTTTAGCGAGCGACATGCCATCCCAGGCGGCGGCAGGCGGGCGGGAGTGGACGGCGCGGCGGCGGGACGCAGGCGGGTACTCCTCAGAAACAATCTACGGAATGGAATCAATCACATATAGAACTTAGAAGTAACAAGATCCGTGCCTTGTTTACGAGTCGGGCCTCAATCATTGTATGAACGCGACGCGGCGCGGCGATGGAGCGCTTAGTTTATTTATAGACTTATGTATTTACGCAGATTGTGAGCAGAATTAATGAAAATACTACAATATTAATATATTCATGCACTACCTTCTTGTATTTTAAATAATTCTGTCTTTCTACATGTTAGTAGTAAAGTGCAGTAAACATTCATAAACATTTACAATATATCAGGGTATGAAATTATCAAGATAAATATATCTTTTGATAATTATCACGATAATTATCAGATAATTATCCGATAATTATCAAACAGATATAAACATAGCAATCCTTGTGTAGGTATATGACTACTTGCTATTCATAATTTACGTTAGAATAAACTATACACTTTTAACAATCTTTTATTATTATTTTTTTCATTAAGTATTCTGACACAGACAAACTTGGAAATAAAAACAGAATAAATTGAACCAACTATAGACACTATTTGATTAAATTAAAGGTCTCTCTCTACTACACCGTCTCATAAAGTGCTCTCTGACAGTGCTAGGAAATGTAAGTAAGTGACTATGCCCACTGACCGTTCCATCACCGACCAAGACCTTTCCGTCACCGGCCAACACAGTCGCGTGCCGTGCATGGAAAGTTAACAATAATTGTCGGCAAGAATATTTTGCCGGTACCAATACGCTCCGTGCCTGGCACGAGACGTTGCCGAACCTGCGTTATAACTGCGTATGATGACCGTACTAAGCCCGTTATAATAATGTCTTCTAGTGATAATATTTTCTTTTAAATTATATTTTTTTAAAGGCGTGAACCTAGTAACGTCATGATCGACTGATGTTATTCTCTTTCTTTCTCGTCTAAAACAATAGCTATTACTCTTAATTCTTTGTCGGAAAAGTTTCTAATAGCCATCGTATAGGTACAGGAAATAATTTTCGTAACAAAAATATTCAGTAGCTCTTTCTGACACGGCTGCCTCACGCGAAAATACAAGTGAACTACTACGACTGAGAAAACGGGAACTATGTGTACGGATATGACACGCAGGTGATACGCGGTTGATACGCAAATGATACGTTCTAGTGGGCATAATAGTCCGTGTCGCTTGTTTCCGTGCCTGATACGTTCATAGCACGGTCATGGTATGGACGGTGTAGTAGGCAGACTCCTTAATGAGTGGAATATCATCCTCATCCTCCTCAACTGCATTAACTCAGTTTGCTGATTGAGTTTTTTGAGCTGATTGAGAGAGTTCAGTTAGCTGATCGACAATTTGAAGAGTTACAAATTAAATATTTTCAATTATATTTATCAAAGATAATTATCAACCTATATTTATCATGATAATTATCAATGATAATTATCGTTTCGAACCCTGCAATATATAGATAGATATATACAATAAAATAATCTTTTTTACCCGATCTATGCTCGTAAACGTAATTAAATATAAATATTGCTTAAAGTATACTTAAACTATTAAGTATTATAGAAAGAATGATCAAGATTTGCAAATCTATATAATATAAAAATGAATCGCTGAATGTGTTGGTAAGCGCAAATCTCGAGAGCAGGTGAACCGATTTCGCTAATTCTTTTTTTAGAATATTCCTTGAAGTACGAGGATGGTTCTTATGAAGAGAAAAAATTAAAAAATTGCCTGAAAAAGTCTAAAAACAACACTTTTCTATACTCCCATATAAAAGATTCGTAATAATACTTAAAAGTCAATTTGAACTTTAATACCGTACCATAAAGTTTAAGTGTTAGTGGAGAGGTTCCGGGAAGGCAAAACAATTGAGTGACGTTAGTATCGTATAAATATTAATGTTAATATTTGTCAATATTATTAACAAAAAAAATTAAAATGTATATGGCTAACGCTGGCTAATAACTATTTATATCTATTTAAAACGTACCAAGCGACAAACCCGAGCGAAGCGAGGGTGAGCCGCTAGTAATATATATGACTGATACATAGATAATAAATACGTGATATAATACCTATGTTGTTATTAATTTTACTTTAAATAAATAATACCATGTTATAGCGGATGGTGCCGGTTGGCCTTCAAGAGGACAGTGCCCGAAGTAAACTAGCTTTTTAAAGAGAACGGCGGCAAGCTTTTACTAGTAACGATAGTCGATACTGTTTAAGTAATTCATGTCGGGCGTCAGCTCGACTAAATGGATTTTCAAACCCACCTAAGAGTAGAAACGTTTCAATACAATCTCGTAATAAGTTCTATATACTATGCCAATACCTCCACATATATATATATATATATATATATATATAATATAATTTAGTAGGTGCCTATTCACAAATCCATATCTTTTTGCGTGTCATCCTATATTTTTTAAAAACCGAAAGGAAAGAAACTCCTGAATGTCGTATAATACTAAAATAAATAACAAAAATCCATATCTTTCCATTTACGACAGCTAATTATATTCATTCAAGATTATTATTACATATCATTCGTGTCATCTATTTGCTATTAAGTTTAATCAAAACATTTTTAGCAAGCGTTTTATCACGTGCCTAGTTCTCTAGTGATAGATAAACATACATAGTTGTGCGCAGTTTTGTGCCGTTATATTTTACTTTTTATCTCAAAAGCGAACCTAATAGATATTTCGTAGATTGACTTTCTATACTTTTTAATTTTTAATATTTTGCCAATTACTTATATAAACGGTTTTAATAATAATCTTTGATTAGGTCTCATTTTCAAATATGAAAATCAAAATACTAAAAAATAATGGCGCAGCCGAAAAATATTGTAAATCAAAGTACTAGCGACTCGTTGTGGTGTTCCACAGTTACCTTAGTTTTATAGACTATTCCTCATGCTGGTGACCATTGAAAGCAGTTTTGTTTATTTGCATTATTATAACTAATATAAAATATCATGCTTGCTTGCACATCACTCGCTTCGGCCTATTTTATTGCAAGAGCTAGTATCCTACGGGAATCACTTGAGGTACCTGTTCAAAAAGTAGATTAATTAAGTCGATCAGTTTTCATTAGATATTAGTTTGTTGCACAAATCTAAGCCATGCAAAAGGGAAGTTAAGCAGTAGCAATTAGTATAAATATTGCAGGTAGTGTTCTAAGAAAAATGTATGAAATTGTTTACTTCAGGCATACCGGGTGAAGAGTTGACAGGGACGTTGAAGTGTAACGATGACCAGTTCGCGTGCGCAGACGCGTTGCGTTGCGTGCCCGCCGCCTGGCGCTGCGACGGGCGCGCGCACTGCACGGACGCGTCGGACGAGATTAGTTGCAGTACGTACCTACCGACCCTATTACTACGAGTAAATACCACAGTCGAAATATTTACCTACACAAGACTGGCATACACCAGGTCAATCAATTCCATAAGTCACTAAGTGCTTCGATTATAGCTGCTTTAAAAATATTTACGCACATGGAAAATTGTTTTTTTTTTACTATAATATTAATTTGAACCCACAATACCTTAAAAATCCAAGTTAATATACATAATAGTAATAGTTATAGGTATACATATTCGTTTGTATCGTCTCGCTTGCTCTAGAGTGGGTCAACCCACAGACAAATAAACCATAAATTAATTACCACCTGAACAGATATAATTCGACAATACAACAACTACCTACATGATACTAAGTGTTATGAGTGATATTCGAAGGACAAAAAAATCGTTTTTGATAAATTAAAACTTTAAGTCTAATGTAAGGGACGTGCCCGACTACTGTACGTCTGCGTGTAGTCTAAGTTGAGCATTTGTGTATACAGCATACAACACGACCTGCGGTCCCGGACAGTTCCGCTGCGTGCGCAGCGGCCTGTGCATAGCGGCGAGCTGGCGCTGCGACGGGGACGCCGACTGCGGCCCGCACGACGCCTCCGACGAGGACCCCTACATGTGTATGTTGTATAATATTGGTTTTTTGTCAAGTTACTAAGTAAGAACTATCTATCTTATTCATAATTTTAAATTTACCAAAGATAGGTAACTGCCGTTGCAAAATGTATCTCAGCGGGATAATCCCTTACACGACGGTAAATAAATAAGCTGATAATAAAAATTTATAAATAAACGATACCAACATAACAAATATTGCAGGTGAAAAGGACTTCAAGTGCTGGGGCGCGTGGGCGCGGTGCGCGACGCCGGAGGACGGCCAGTTCAGCTGCGTGCCCGTCTACAACTTCTGCGACGGCGTGCGCCACTGCCTCGACGGCAGCGACGAGTGGGACATTTGCGACAACTGTGAGTGCTGGCATTGAAACTGATCTCCTTTGTGCTTTGTAGAGCGTCATATTTTACATATCTTCATTCAAAAGAAACATGCAGTGGTTTGTGGCTAAGTTTACATGAAACATCATGTCGTGTGTGCACAGTCACGGAGTCGTCGTGCGCGGCGCTGGGCTGCGCGGCGTGCCGGCCCACGCACGAGGGCGCTTCCTGCTACTGCCAGCCCGGTTACGAGTGGCGCGACGGCCGCTGCGTCGGTGAGACGTGCTTCTATCTACATATTTATTTATTAATTTTTGGGAAAAAACAGTGAGATAATTCTTAAAAATAATTATAAACTAAAACATCCACACACCAGCAAAGTGTCCACCTATAAATATGTCACAGGTAGAGTAAACATGATAATTAGTTTAAACATTGAAACAATAAAATAAAAATTTTAACAAAAGTTATTGCAAAATAAAAACACTATAAAAGGACAACAAAAAATATGACTAAGTGAAAATTGTAAAAAATAAATAAAAAACGAATTATAAAAATAAGAAAAAACACTTGAACACAATTTTTTTTTATATAACGTAATAACCAGTTTATTGTGTTATGGTGCAGACAGCGACGAGTGCGAGTGGGAGGGGGCGTGCGCGCAGCGTTGCAGCAACCTGCCCGGATCGTACGCGTGTGCGTGCGCCGCCGGCTACGTGCTGCGCGCCGACCAGCGCTCCTGCGCAGCCGTCAACGGTCACCATCATTGCGTTCATGCTTACCATCCTTTTCGCGCTAAAAAACTTTTATTATTTTTTTAGTTTATCACAAAATCAAACCTACCAATTTGTGAACAAAATCTATCCGCAGATCCAGTGGGGGCCCCGCTGTCGCTGATAGTGGCGACGGAGAGCGGCGTGGAACGCGTGTGGCCCGCCGAGCCCGCCGCCTCCGCGCGCGGTAACCACTCCCTCGCCGCGCTCGACGTGCGCGCCATCGACTTCCTTTATACCAACAGGTATGTGATACTGGAGTATTCTACTGTTCGAAGCGTTACCTACTAGACGTATGTAATTGAGTTGACTCGGTGTGTGTTCTGTGTGCGCAGGAGCGTGTGCTACGTGCACCGCAACGTGAGCCGCGCGGCGCTAGTGTGCGTGGACGCGGACGACTTCTCGCGCCGCCGCGAGCTGCCCGCGCCGCACCCGCTGCCCGACCTCGACTGTGAGCCCGCACGCCCGCACACCCGCACCCCTACTCACATACTTTGTGCTGTTCTGTGGGAATGAACCTCATTTACACAACTTTTATATTTTTATAAGGGGTTATTTTTTGAATACGATAACATAGAACAAAAATATGTAGTTACATGATTTTAGCTGACGCTTTTTTTGAAGTAAAACTTCTTTACGCGTAACTGTAACATGAGTGTCGCGAAAGTGAGAGTCAAATTTATTATTAATAATTAAAAAAAAAATATATTTATATAAATATAATATGATAATCATTATTTATAAAATTTTTATTATTAATGATTTTATAGTAATTATTACTTATAAAAATGAATATTTATTACTAATAATTTTATAAAAAATATTATATTTATATTTTGATTTGTTTTAATTTAATTGCGATCGGCAGATGCCACATCGCAGCGCCAAGGAAGTTTTACTTGAACCACGTGTAAAGGTTACAAATACTCATTTTTTTTCATATGTAGTATTATATTATAATAAAAGTAAATAAGTAGATATTTTTTATACTCCACAGTTTCATTAAAATATAAATTATTTAAACTTACATTTAAAAATTGATAATGGATTAATGTCTCATTATACCGTAATGAACTTTATTCGTTATTATTAAAAATATATTGTATCTGCAGCTAATTAGTTTCAACATTTAAAATTAAAAGTAACATACGATTCAATTAATTTTAATGAGCAAACATTAACTGACATGTGTGTGTGTGTGTCGTGCAGCGGTGGAGCACCTGGCCATCGACTGGGTGTCGGGTAACTGGTACGTGGCGGACAGCGCGCGCGAGCTGGTGGCGCTGTGCGACGCCGCGCTGCGCCACTGCCGCCTCTTGCCCGAGCGCGCGCTCGGCCGCCTGCGCTCGCTGGCGTTGGACCCCACCGCCGGGTACATGTTCTGGAGCGCGTGGGGCGCCGAGCCGCCGGCCGTGCGCCGCGCCTCACTGGCCGGCGCCGACGCGCGCGCGCTCGCCGACCTCAAGCTGGTGTACCCCGGCGCGCTGGCGCTCGACCCCGCCGCGCGCGCGCTCTACTGGGTCGACGCCTACCTCGAGTGCGTCGAGCGCGTCGACTACGACGGCCGGCGCCGCGCCACCGTGCGCCGCGGATACGACGTGAGTACCCCCCCCCCCCCCGCCGCGCCCCCCTCCCCCGCCACCCGCACACACTCGTCTCACGCGCGCGCCGCCCCCTGTGCAGTCGCAGCGGCTGGAGCGCATCTCGGTGCTGGAGGGGCTGCTGTACCTGCCGGTGTGGCAGAACCGCAGCGTGCTGGCCGCGTCGCGCTACCGCCGCGCGCGCGCGCCGCCCGCGCACCACGCCGTGCGCGCGCGCCCGCTCGCCGCGCTCGTGTACCACCGACAGCGACAACCTAACGGTATCTTGTTCATTATCATTAAATTTATTTGTGCCCGACGTTTTCTTTTGCTATCGTATTTAGTGTTTTTTAATTCTTCTATAATTATAGGTCTATTTCCGTAGTCGGATTCCAATTTTTTTTACTTTTTGTTCTCCACTTGTCACTTTGGTGCCGCGGCAGTGACGCACCCGTGCGCGGTGCGCAAGGGCGGCTGCGCACACGTGTGCGTGCCGGCGTACAGCGGCGCGGCGCCGCGCGCGCACTGCGTGTGCCGCAACGGGTACCGCCTCGTGGGCCACGGCGACTGCGAGCGTGAGTGCACACCACCTACCTTACTGCTCGCCTTGCTTGTCCGTTATTACCGCTGCGATTGAAACTATATTATATTAATGTAAAGAGCGAAGGACATGGTGTTGGAAGGTATACGAGTATGTTGCATGGGCTCCGGCAGGCGTGGAGGCGGAGAGCTACCTGGTGGTGTCGCGCGGCGCGCCGGCGCTGGTGGGCGGGCTGGTGCTGGCGGGGGCGGGGCCGGGGGCGGCGCCGGGGGCGGAGCCCGACGAGCCCTTCGCGCCCGCCACGCACGCCGCGCGCCCCACCGCCTCCGACGTCGACATCGACAAGCAGATGCTCTACTATTGCGACGTGCACAAGTGAGTGCTCGCCGCACGATCGCGTCTCATATAAACGCTCGTATACTGGAAATATTCATAACATTTATACTTTGCAGATATCAAATTATCCGGCAGAAACTCGACGGAAGCCAACAAGAGGTTTTTCTCGGAGCTGAAGTTGACAACTGTGAAGGACTCGCTATCGACTGGATGAGTGAGCATCTTAAATAAGCAGTGAGCATCTCTTTATGTGTTATGTTACATAAATCCACAATAAAAATATATCAGACTAGCATTGCCCGCGGCTCCGCCCGTGTTCAGATGACCAAAACCAAATTCTTAGGTTTTACATATTAATATATCCTTACATTGCAGTTTTTGTCCTTTTTCTTAGAAATGAGACATATTCGCGCGGTAAAAAGTATCCTATATATTGACCCGGATAACCAGCTATCACCATACCAAATGTCATCTAAATCCCTCCAGTGGTTTTTCTGTGATGCGGTAACAGACAGACAGACAAAAATTCTAAACACTATACATTCGGCCTCTGTATCGATAATAATGTTTATTTCAATAAGGTTTTCCAAAAAATATCTAAACTACAGATTCGGCTTAGTTGCAATTTTATTATATGTATAGATAATATTTGTAGTAAAAATACGTTTGTGGAAATAATACTTTCTTAGATTTACGCGAATGTTTGACATTATTAAATTTCATTTAATAATGTTTGTGGAAAATTTGACGTGGTATGTATATGAGAGTTTTATCGAATGTAGGCCGCAACGTGTACTGGACGGACGACGCGCTGGGGCAGCTGAGCGTGGCGCGGCTGGACGCGCGCGCGCGCCGCGTGCTTCTGCGCGCGCCGCACTACCACCCGCGCGCCCTCGCGCTCGACCCCGCCAACGGGCAAGTGCTGCACTGCACAATCATTCTATATTATTTTTATATTATGCTATTTTGATACGTTAAAATTTATGAAATAATCGTTAAAATTAAGTACATGATATGAATATTAAGTTTTATATTAAGTTTTAGCTTAAAACGACCTCCAATTTATAATAAGTTGTGTCCACAGTGTGATGTACTGGTCGGTGTGGGCGGGCCTGGACGGCGGCGGCGCGGCGCGCATCGAGGCGGCCGCCATGGACGCGTCGCGGCGCCGCGCGCTGCTCGCCGACGACCTCACGTGGCCCAACGGGCTCGTCATCGACCTGCAGACGCACTACCTGTATTGGTAACTGACAACCTTGTGTCCGGTGTTAATGTGGACTCTGCTTTATAGTGTGCCTAGTTGTACGAAAATATATTTATTTCTTGTAGGTGTGATGTTTATTTGAACAAAATTGAGCGTATCCTCGTAACGTCGTCCGGAGACGTGGCGCCGGGGGCTAAGCGCGAATTGCTGCTTAAAAATACTCCTGAGACTCCTCTGTCTAAGCCATACGGCTTGGCGGTATATGAAGGTACACTTATAAGATAATATAAATGATATTATAAAATATTATCAAATTTGATTAAAAAAATTATAGTACGTATAAATTTGCAATATTTATAACGTTATGCATATTTATGAATGATTTAAGAGGCTCAAACATAGTGTGTCGGTCGTGTCGTGTTGCAGACTGGGTGGTGTGGAGCGAGCACGGGTCGGGGCTGGTGCGGCGCCTGCTCGCCAACGGCTCGGTGGACACGCTGCGCGCGTTCTCGGCGCCGCTCTACGACATCCGCCTCGTGTCCGCCGCCGCGCGCTCCGGTACTGCTCCGCCACAACACTACAGCTTCTCAAATTCAAACTCCTACTATACTCATCGCTTTTTAAACTGTGGGCCCTCTGTATAACAAGAATATTTTGTAAGAATGGAATTCGAAACAGAAAAAACAAATGGTTCAAAATTGTTCTCGTAATGATGGCTAAAGTTTTCTATCTTTTTCTACTCACGATAACTTTTTATTACCGGTTCTTATCATGGACTTACAACTATCTCGATCATTATGTCGTCGTATGTGAAGTCGTAATTAGCTCGCTGCAATGCAGTATAATTTTTAAAAAACCGTTTAGAATAATAATACTAATAACATACATATATATATATATATATATATATATATATATATATATATATATATATATATATATATATGTATGTATGTTGTAGGAAAGAACGCATGCTCGCACAACAACGGCGGGTGCCCGGAGCTGTGCCTGCCCACGGCGCCGGACGAGCGGCGCTGCGCGGGGGCGGGCGGGGCGGCGGCGGGCGGGGCGGAGGCCGCGCCCTGCCCCGCCAAGCACTTCCACTGCGGGCAGGGGTGCGTGTCGCTCAACGCGCTTCATGTCAAACGACTCAAAAATAAGTGTATATCTTTATAAGTGCACGTGTTACAGACGGTGCATAGACTCGTCGTTCGTCTGTGACGGCGACGCGGACTGCCCCGACGGCTCCGACGAGGACACCTCCCCCACTGGACCTTGCGGTGATCGTCAATGAATACATGCCATTTTAATAGTTATTCATTTTTAATTATAATTTTTATTTTGTGCAAATGTCGTTTTTATATGTTTTCAGCTAATGTGACTTGTAACGAGGATCAATTTATGCAATGTGACTCGAGTCGCTGTATCCCGAAGAGCTGGATCTGTGACGGGTTGAAAGGTTAGTTTAGATATATTTAAATAAAAATAAATTAAAGACTGTACATGTCGGTGCATAAGTTATTATTTTTTTATATCGGTTTTTCTTGAACATTAACTACAAAGGGTTTGTGTGACGGCAGACTGCTCGGACGGCGCGGACGAGACGGCGCGCGCGTGTTCGCAGGCGGCGTGCGCGCCGGGGCTGTTCACGTGCGCGCGCTCGCGGCGCTGCCTGCCCGCCGCCTGGCGCTGCGACGGCGCGCCCGACTGCGGCGCGCGCGACCGCTCCGACGAGCAGGGCTGCGCCGCCGCGCCCTGCGCCGCGCCCGCCTTCCGCTGCGCCGCCGGCGCCTGCCTGCCCTGGGAGTACGTGTGCGACGGCCACGCCGACTGCGCCGGCGCCGACGACGAGCGCGCCTGCGCCGCCACGCCCGAGCCCGCGCCCGACGCCGCGCCGCGCCGCCGCCGGTGAGCGACACCCCGGCCGACACGACGCGGCACACATGACTCATTCATGTAAATAAAAAATTATTTCATTTTTCAGACCGCATCACAACGAAACAGATAAACATGGACTCTGCGAAGATCACGAGTTTCAATGTAATAATAGAGAGTGTATACGAATGGAATTCCGCTGCGACCTGCGAGTGGACTGCCTGGACGGCTCGGACGAGGCGGGCTGCCCCGCCGCCCCCGCGCCCCCCGCCGCCGCCGCCACCGCCGCCGCGCCCGCGGGCGAGTGCGCGGCGCCGGCGGTGCGCTGCGACAACGACACGCGCTGCGTGCCGCTGCAGCAGCTGTGCGACGGCGCGCAGGACTGCGCGGACGGCGCCGACGAGGCCGACAGATGTGGTAGTGTATTCGTGCCCTTTATGTTGGACAATAATTAATACAATTACCTTTGATCCATTAGTTTCAGCAACTACAGATATATTCATAATTGTTCAATTCAAAGTCTACGAACTTCAACTAAATGAGCTACTTGAACGAAATACGATGTCATTGCTTAAAAAAAGATATTTTTTTAAAAGGCTTTTTTGTCACGTGTGACTCGTGAGTTATACCGAATAAAAAGGAGCGAAAGCGTTAATTTCCGTGATATACAGTAGTAATACGCAGTCCGCGGCCGCCCCGCACGGCCCCGAGCACTAACTCAAAGTCAGAACAGCGAGCTAGACTATTAAATACTGTATAAGCTAAGTAAGCAATACCACTGGAATAATGTTTCTAAGACTATGAGTTTTGTAATTTCATCACATTTCACTTTTCTGACTCGCTACACGTACGAGTATGTTTCGGTGTCATTTTAAAGATGTTTCACGTCAAAAAGATAATAGAGGTTTATGTTAATCGCTCGGTGCGTGCGTGCGTGCGGGTGGCAGGCGAGCCGATGTGCGAGGTGGCGGCGTGCTCGCACTTGTGTCGCGCCACGCCGCGCGGGCCCGCCTGCGCCTGCCCCGCGCCGCTGCGCCTGCAGCGCGACGGCTACTCCTGCGCGCCCGCGCACGCCTGCACCGACTGGGGCGTGTGCAGCCAGGTAAACGGCCCTCCTTCACATTCTCTCACACTAACTATTTTGATTTTACTCAAGTTTTTACATTTTTGCCATACTGTGTTTTGCGATAACTCTGAATGATAGCTTTGAATCGATGCTTCGCAGACGTGTCAGCCGCATAAGAACCGGTACAAGTGCACGTGCTACGAGGGCTACAAGCTGGCGGCGGACGGGTTCACGTGCAAGAGCACGGCGCCGGAGCGGCCGCTGCTGGTTTTCAGCAACCGGCACGAGCTGCGCGGCGTGCAGCTGCCGGCGTTGGCGGCGCGCGCGCTGGTGGCGGCGCTGCGCAACACGCTGGCGCTGGCGTGGCGCCGCGACCCCGCGCCGCCGCACGCCGTGCAAATGTTCTGGACCGACGTGCTCGACGATGCCATCTACCGCGGCACCTTGTTCGGCGAAGGTGACGCCCGACCACATATTGACACTTTATTATATTTGACGTTCTCAACAGGGACCCATTTGGTTACCCTTTAAAGGGTTTTAACCTGGGGTTTTTTAAAGGGTTTTAACAAGAAACCCTTTTCATAGGGTTACCCAGTCAACAGGCTTAATTAAATCATATGTTTAATAGGGTTAACCCTATCTGTTGGGTTAGGTATTAGGTTACCCAATAAATAATGGGTTACTTCATATATAACGTGTTATCTAACAAATATAATGGTACAATTTTAGCCTCTAAAATTATTAAGAAACATTACATATTAGAGTGTAGTATAGAAAACATAAAAAGGCGGCAAACGAACACCTACGAGTATTAACGTGTACGGACATGTTTCTTTCGTTGTTTAGGTGTCTAGGCCTGAAGAAATGCAATTTTATTTTATTCGACAACACGCGAGTGATATGAAAAGTGCTCTTAGTCTTGTTATTTTAAATGCCTCCAATTAAAACCGATACTTTAATTATGACAACATCGAGAAGAAGAGTAAATGTTTGATATGCGGGAATAATTTAAAGGTAAGTTACATAATTATCATATTTAAAATTTAATAATTATTTATGAATCATTTACTACACACTACACACACACTCACACATACGACAGACACACACACACACACATGACACACACATATGACACACACACATGACACACACACATGACACACACATGACACACACACACATGACACACACATATGACACACATGACACACACACACACGACACACACACACACACGACACACACACACACACACACGACACACACACACACACACACACACGACACACACACACACACGCGACACACACACGACACACACGCGGACCGACACGACACACACACACACGCTCACACACACACACACACACACGACACACACACACGACACACACACACGACACACACACACACACACCACACACACACACACAACACACACCACACACACACACGACACACACACATGACAACACACACGCCACACACACATACGACACACACACATGACACACATGACAACACACCTGACACTCATGACACTCATGACACACATGACAATCATGACACACACACACACACACATGACACACACATGACACACACACACACATGACACACACACACATGACACACATAGCACACATGACACACATACACATGACACACACACACACACACATGACACACATGACACACATAGCACACATGACACACATGACACACATGACACACATGACACACATGGCACACATGACACACATGACACACATGACACACATGACACACATGGCACACATGACACACATGACACTCATGACACACACACACACACACGAAACATGACACACACACACTTGACACACGTGACACTCATGACACACACCCACACATGACACACACACACGCACACACATGACAAACATGGCACACATGACACACACACATGACACATGCCACACATGACACACATGACACACATGAAACACATGACACTCATGACACACATGACACACACATGACACACACACACACATGACAACATGACGCACATGACGCACACACACACACACACATGACACACACACACATCACACACATGACACACATGACATAACACACATGACACTCATGACACACATGACACACATGACACACACACACATGACACACACACACACACACACACACACATGACACAACACACATGACACTCAAGACACATATGACACACACGACACACACACACACACACATGACACAACACACATGACACTCATGACACACATGACACACACACACATGACACACACACACACACATGACACACACACACACACACACGAGTCACACACACACACGACATACACACACGACACACACACATGACACACACACACATGACACACACATGACACACACACACATGACACACACATGACACACACACACATGACACACACACTCACACGACACACACAACACACATGACACACACACACTCACACGACACACACAACACACATGACACACATGGCACACATGACACACACACACACACACACACACACACATGGCGCACACACACACACATGACACACACACATGACACACACACACACACACATGGCGCACACACACACACACACACATGACACACACACATGACAAACATGACACACCTGACACACATGACACTCATGACACACATGACACACACACACACCTGACACACACACACACACACACACACATATACATGACACTCACACACACACACATATACATGATACTCACATACACACACACACACACACACACACACACACACATACCTGACACACACACACACACACACACATGACACACACACACATGACACACACACACATGACACACAAACACACACACACACACACATGACACACACACATGACACACACACATACACACGACACACACACACACACGAGACACACACACACTCACACGACACACACACACGAGACACACACACACTCACACGACACACACACACGAGACACACACACACTCACACGACACACACACACGAGACACACACACACTCACACGACACACACACACACGAGACACAGACACACTCACACGACACACACACACATGACACATACACACGACACACACATGACACACATGACACACATAGCACACATAGCACACATGACACACATGACACACAGGACACACATGACTCTCATGACACACCCACACACACACGACACACACACACACATGACACACACACGCATATACATGACACACACGACACACACACACACATACATAACACACACACACACACACACACACACACACACATGACACACACACACACACACACACATGACACACACACACACACATGACACATACACATACACACACACATGACACAATCACACACATGTGACACACATGACACACATGGCACACATGACACACATGACACTCATGACACACACACACACACACACACACGACACACACACACACGACACACACATGACACACACACACATGACACACACACACACACATGACACACATGACACATGAAACACATGACACTCTTGACACACATGACACACACCCACACATGACACATACAAACACACACATGACTCACACACACACATGACAAACATGACACACACACATGACACAAACGTGACACACATGGCACACATGACACACACACACACACACACACATGACACACACACATGACACATACACACACACACATGACACATACACACACACACATGACAAACATGACACACACACATGACACACACATGACACACATGACACACATGACACTCATGACACACATGACACACACACACACACACACACATGACACACACACACACACACACATGACACACACATGACACACACATACATGACACACACACATATGACACACACATGACACACACACACACATAACACACACATGACACACACACACATAACACACACACGAGACACACACACACACGAGTCACACACACACACTCACACACACACACACACACACACACATGACACACACATGACACACACACACACACACACGACACACACACACACACACATAACACACACACACATGACACACACGACACACACACACATAACACACACATGACACACATGACACACACACACACACACATAACTCACACATGACACACACACATGACACACACACACACACGACACACACACACACACACACACACGAGACACACACACACACGAGACACACACACACGACACACACTCACACACACACACACACACGACACACACTCACACACACACTCACACACACACACACACACACACACACACACACACACACACACACACACACACACACACACACACACACACACACACACACACACACACACACACACACACACACACACACACACACACACACATGACACACACACATGACACACACATACATGACTAGAAAAATAGAAACTTCTTTAATAACTTGTTATAATAAAAAATAAAGTCTTATGAAAATATTTATGTCTTTTTATTTTAAGAAATATGTAGAATAATAATTTAATTTAAAATAATTTATTCATAACATTTATGAATTATATTCTATAATTTTAATTATTTGGTACATAACGTAACGCCTCTTCAGAACCGGTACATTAGCCAATTCCAGCCCAACGAATGTTCCAAAAGCATTATTTGCAAATTCCATTTTTTTAGTGTTTTCTTCGGCATACGTTTGGGTATTGCTTTCAGTAAATTCAATTGTTTTTAATTTATCACGGGCTTCGTAATCCTTGTATTGGTCTAAATTTTGAGAGTTTGGCTCAAATATATTATACGAGTCTTCATCAACTCGGTATTATGTAATATATAAAAACACAAATTTGTAATTAGTAAGAACCTAGACTTTAAAAAAATAGTTTATATAATATATGTACATTACAAGTATTTAAAAACATACTTGAGAAAGAGGCTGCTGCTATTACCCTTTGAAAACCCAAAAAATCAAGAGAAAAACAAAGATTTTAACAAGTATATGTAAACAGATTAATTACCGCCTTCATTGAGTCGTTTTTCTGAAGAGGGGCTATCACATTGGGTTTCATCGTTATTTGGCTCCGTTTCTGGTACTATTTCAGCTTTTTATAAAATTAATTAAAAATAAAAGTAAATGTAAAATAGTTATCTATATATAAAACGTTACTAAAATCAATTTTTAAATAAAATATACAATCATAAAAAGAAAAATAAATACTTACGTTTGTGACGGTTCATTATATATTTTAATAAGTAAACGTGCACAGGTAGGAGTATGAAACTTTAAATTAACATTGTTTTGCAGTGCTACACGAATTTAGAAACAAATAGGTATATTCCTCCACCCTTTCTTCATCACCAGTTAAAAAGTAAGTTTCGGGATAATCACGTAAAACGATGTGGTAACCCTTTCGATAGGGTTAATTCTATAGTATATAGATATATAGTATATCATTACAAATGATTAACACATTTCATTTGCTTAAAGGTAGGTTACACATTTAATGGGTAACAAGGTTTTTCTACGTTCATTTTGAATGGGTAACCGTTTTTTTTGGCTTAACTCTAAACCCTAGTTTTACGGTCCCTGGTTCTCAATAAATATTTATTTTAATATTATTTTCTCATTTTAGTGATAAGTGGAATCGAAGTGGTGGTCCAGCAGGGACTGACGGCGGCGGAGGGCCTGGCGGTTGACTGGATCGCCGGCAACCTCTATTGGGTGGAGAGCAATCTGCGTCAGATCGAGGTCGGTATACATCTACGATATCTGTACTTTGGCAATTTATAAGGAAAATAATCAGCAATTAATTTTCTTAGGTAGCGTCCGTAGACGGGAAATATAGACGAACCCTCATTTCTGGCGACATGGGCAGCCCCAGGGCCATCGCCGTCGACCCCACCGTCGGTGAGTCCCGTCTCTTTCTTGATCTTTGGTAATATACAAGTATCATAAATAAAGTAATGGTGAGTGTGAACGTGTGTGTCAGGGCTGATGTTCTGGAGCGATTGGGACGCGGAGGCGCCGCGCATCGAGCGCGCGTCGCTGGCGGGGCGGCGTCGCACGGTGGTGCTGCGGCTAGGCGGCGAGGGTGGCGGGGAGGGCGGCGCGGCGCTGCCCAACGGGCTGGCGCTGGACGTGGTGGCGCGGCGCGTGTACTGGGCGGACGCGCGCGCCGACGCGCTGCTCACGGCGGACTACGAGGGCGGCGAGCGGCGCGTGGTGCTGCGCGCGCACCCCGCGCTGGCGCACCCCTTCGCGCTCGCGTTGTACGAGTCGCACGTGTACTGGACGGACTGGCGCGCCAACGCCGTGCTGCGCGCCAACAAGTGGAACGGCTCCGACGTGGTGTACGTGCAGCGCACGCTCACGCAGCCCTTCGACGTGAAGGTGGTGCACCCCAGCCTGCAGCCGCCCGGCGCCGGCAACCCCTGCGCGCTCAACGGCAACTGCTCGCATCTCTGTCTCATCGACTCGGCCTCGGAGCGCGTGTGCGCGTGCCCGCACCTCATGCGCCTCGCCGACGACGGCCGCACCTGCGAGGGTATCCACCGTTACTTTTAATTAGCTTTTGTATTCGATAAAATAATGTAATTCAATTAAATCGTTTTGTTGTCTCGTTAATGTTGACTGATGGTGCGCCATGGGTCGTGCGGGTGCGCAGTGTACGAGCAGGCCATCGTGGTGAGCCGCGCGGGCGAGATCCGCGGGCTGTCCCCGGCGGCGCCCGGCGCGCAGTCGCTGCCCGCGCTGTCGGGCCCGCAGCTGGCCACGCCGCAGGCGCTGCACTGCCTTCCTGCCGAGTACGCCATCTTCTGGGCGGACACCGACGTAAGTACCGTCCCTGCCCGTCCTCGTCTCTTCCTGTGCAGTGTATCTATATACCGATGTGGGCGTTGTTGCGCAGACGAACGAGATCAAGCGCGCGGACGTGCGGGGCGCGGGCGGGGCGGGCGGCGCGGAGGGCGGCGGCGCGGTGCAGGTGGTGGCGGACGCGGGCGTGGAGGCACCGCGCGCGCTGGCGCTGGACTGGGCGGCGCGCGTGCTGTACTACGTGTCGCGTGGCGCGCTGGTGGCCAGCGGGCTGCGCGGCGAGTACGCGGCGCCGCTGTTGCCGGACATGGCCGCGCTGCAGTCCATCGTCGTCGACCCCCTCAAGTCAGCGTCATCCAATTTTAACTAAACTAGAGCTACATATTTAATACAGCTAGTTTTTAATACTTTCTTAGATTTACGCGAATATTTGACATTTTAAATAAAACTATCTTTTCGGATTTTGTCGCGGATTTATTTGGATTTTTGTTTCCCGACGTTTCGAATGCTTTACAGCATCCATGGTCACGGGAGAGACTGAGGTGTTACATGTCTTGAATGTATAGTTGTTACAGACAGCCTACCCACAATTAACAAAATGAAAATTGCACCAATTACATTACAATATTTTTTAACTTTAAACATTTTTATAATTTTAATTATAATTGAATATGGAAAATTATTTATTTAATTTTGCTATTATTTTTATAATTATTACAATTTTAAAATATTAATTAGTAATCTATATTTAGTGTTGCCATTATTATATTTATAACCATAAAGAAAAATATAAAATGTAGTATTAATTATTAAAGCCATATAATTGTTCTATGTGTAATTTAAAAAGTTAAAATTAATTAAGGATAATAATTTTAATTTAGTTTGCTATTATTTAAAAACAACTTACTAAGCAACACTATTAATATATACTTTTACAAATGAAAAATGAAAAATATTAGTCTGATAAGCTGTCATTTTGATCTACACAGTATGAACTTACTACATCTGCCTGTCTGTTATGTTTATATTTATTATTTGATTTTATTATATTAATAACAGGATCCCATGACGATGGTAGTACCCAGCCATCTTCCCTATTGAAATTAGGATGTTTTTTAATTTCTATGGCTTCTCGAATCATTCTAGGGCGATATCGGTTTTGGCTAGAATGATTCGAGAAGCCATAGAAATTAAAAAACATCCTAATTTCAATAGGGAAGATGGCTGGGTACTACCATCGTCATGGGATCCTGTTATTAATATAATAAAATCAAATAATAAATATAAACATAACAGACAGGCAGATGTAGTAAGTTCATACTGTGTAGATCAAAATGACAGCTTATCAGACTAATATTTTTCATTTTTCATTTGTAAAAGTATATATTAATAGTGTTGCTTAGTAAGTTGTTTTTAAATAATAGCAAACTAAATTAAAATTATTATCCTTAATTAATTTTAACTTTTTAAATTACACATAGAACAATTATATGGCTTTAATAATTAATACTACATTTTATATTTTTCTTTATGGTTATAAATATAATAATGGCAACACTAAATATAGATTACTAATTAATATTTTAAAATTGTAATAATTATAAAAATAATAGCAAAATTAAATAAATAATTTTCCATATTCAATTATAATTAAAATTATAAAAATGTTTAAAGTTAAAAAATATTGTAATGTAATTGGTGCAATTTTCATTTTGTTAATTGTGGGTAGGCTGTCTGTAACAACTATACATTCAAGACATGTAACACCTCAGTCTCTCCCGTGACCATGGATGCTGTAAAGCATTCGAAACGTCGGGAAACAAAAATCCAAATAAATCCGCGACAAAATCCGAAAAGCTAGTTTTTAGTTTCTTCATTTAAAGCAATGTAGAAAACTAAGAAACTTGTGAATTCCATAAATTTAGATTCCCTATTAACACCATTTCGTCATCATGTTAAAATATCAATATATGTGTGCTTGTGAAAATTATTCAACATTGATTCATTACGTAAAAGATTTACTAACCCATGTCGGTGTCGGTGCAGCGGCAAGCTGTACTGGGCGCTGGCGCGCGACGGCGAGGAGCGCATCGAGGCGGCGGACGGCGACGCGGGCGCGCGCCGCACGCTGCTGTCCTCGCGCCGCGACGCGCACCTCGCGCGCGCCACCAGTGAGTGCCGCCCCTCCCCCTCCCGCTTCCTCTCCCCCTTCCTTCTCAGTGACCGTGAGATGACAGAGCGATGTGGTAATGTCGCCGCCGTTTGCGTTCGACAGGTTTACAAGTGGACCCGGAGAGTAACCGCCTATACTGGGTCAACGAGGGCTCCGCGACCATACAGTACATCGATTTAAAAACGGAAAAAACTTATACGGTAAGTATCTTTAGACAGAAAAGTATTGCTTTTTGTAGTCTTCACGTGTGATACTTGTGATATCGAACATGTCCCGACAGCTGCCGCTGGACATCGGCGCTCGGCCCACGGCGCTGGCTCTGTACGCGGGCGAGGTGGTTTGGGCCGACGCCGCCACCGCCACGCTGCGCGCCTGCGCGCGCGACCACTGCGCGCGCCCGCGCGTGCTGCGCAACGACACCGGTCTGTCAGTCATGTATATATATATCGAAGCTGCATTAATTTTCTCTATTATTTTCCATTATATTATCATACACAGTGGGCGTTATATGGGAAGTGTTGGTTCAAATAAAAGTCGTCGCAATCAAAGTAGTATTTCAAATTAACAATTATCACTTTGAACAGCACTTCACTACACAACCATATAGCAAGCACTTCACTTCACTATTACCACGTATAGACAATACAGTTTCTACTAGTGTTCACTGTGCGACCGACCAAGCGTAACTCAGCCGAGCCCGGTCGAGTGTCACGACGTAGACTCTGTCGAGCCCAAGACGATGACGCTCGCGTTTCGATTAGTTGTGATTATGACTCGTCTCCGACATATATGATATGTGGATAATTGATATCGATATAACTTATGCAGTCGTCACATCGATCGTGCGTGTGGTTGCTTGTAGAGGGCGTGATCTCGGTGGCGGTGTATGACGCGGCGCTGCAGCGCGGCGGCGGCGCGTGCGCGGCGCGGCGGCCGCGCTGCGCGCACCTGTGCGTGTCGGCTGGCGCGCGCGCCGCGTGCCGTTGCGCGCAGGGGTACCGCCAGGACGGCGCGGATTGCATTCGTGAGCCTCCTTATTATGCCTTCCTACTAACCAAACTTATTTATCTGGAACAATTTTAATTTCTATGATTTTATCCAAAATCCTTAAAAAACTATATTTACTCAAAATTCATATTTAAAAAATATAATTTTGAGAATTGGACACAATATTGATTAATATAAATGTCAACGGTCGGCAGCCGAGGACGAGGTGCTCATCTACTCGCTGAGCTGGGAGCTGCGCGGGCTGTCGCTGTCGGGCGGGCGGGAGGCGCTGCCGCCCATCCCGCAGGTGGCGTGCGCGGGCGCGCTGGAGTACGCGGCAGCGGGCGAGTGGGTGTACTGGGCGGACCCCGAGGCGGGCGCGGCGTGGCGCGCGCGGCGCTCGGGCGCGGCGCGCGTGCGCGCGTGCTGCAGCAGGCAGGCGGCGGCGGGCGGCGCGCGCGACGCGCTGGCGGCGCTGGCGCTGGACGCGCGCGCCGGCAACCTGTACTGGAGCGACGCGGCGCGCGCGCTGCTGCTGGTGGCGCGCCTGGACGGCTCGCAGCGCTACGTGCTGCGCGATACCGACCCGCTCGTCGTCACTGGTGCGCCACCACCACACACCACACAGCTTGCTCACTCTCTTACACTTCAGTTAAGAACTGATTGAGTAAAAGCTTAACTTTTCTATCACTATTTCATATACTTTACATCTGTCTGTTCTACAAGTACCTACTTGTCAAAAATAATAATAAAACATTTATTTCTAAACTTTCTTACATTTTATAACTTAAACATTACTCAATTATATTTACAATACTAGCATTGCCCGCGGCTCCGCCCGCGTTCAGATAACTACATATTAGTATAATCTTAAATTGCAGTTTTTGTATTTTTTTTGAAAAAAATTATTATATGTATAGATGTCTCTTCTCCTCCGATGACTTTCACTGCTTTCGATCTGCCGCCGATCTTTACTAAAGGGGACCTAAAGTCATTTCCAATTCATCCTTCTATCTTCTCACTTTGCGACTTCGGCTTCTAAAGCCATCCCTCGGGTACCAGACTGTCTCCTGCTTGCTCCATTTTTCATATTTACAACGGAGCATACGTTTAGTGCATCTCAATTTATGTTGGCCGATATGGTCTTTTAGTTATGTCTCGCGCCTGAAGTCTATACTCCTAACTTTGCCCTTTAGTTGAAACCCTAGCATGCTCCTCTTCATGGCTTTCTTGACATTTTGGAAGTTTGTCACTATGATTTTTCATCAAAGTCCAGTCACAACCATATGTGATTTGTCAAAAAACAGTTTTATATATAAATCGCAGTGCTGGCGCTGGACCCTTGGGAGGGCTGGCTGTTCCTGGCGGGCGGCGGCTGGGTGCAGCGCGCGCGCCTCGACGCCTCCGAGCCCACGCTGCTCTACAACGGCACCGCGCTCGCCGACATCGCCGTCGACGTGCAGGTCCTACACAACGTTTCATCTTGTCGTATTATGATAAAAACTTTTTAACAAAAAAATAAAAACCGACTTCAAACAAAAGCACTAAAAAGTAAAAAATAACTGATTGGTAGTTTTCATTTACTATACATACCTAATCAAATATTTTCGAAGTCGGTGTGCTTTGCTTTGTATGGGCTGGCACCGATTTCGAAAATATTTGATTAGGTATGTATTTAATAGGTAGGCTTTAATTACTTAGCCAAAGCACACCGACTTCGAAAATATTTGATTAGGTATGTATAGTAAATGAAAACTACCAATCAGTTATTTTTTTACTTTTTAGTGCTTTTGTTTGAAGTCGGTTTTTATTTTTTGTTAAAAAGGTTTTGTTTTTTCCTTTTTAGTGTAGACAGTAGTAGCAAAATAAAAATTCTAACGTGTTAGGCTTGTCGAATCAAACAAAATAAGCCCAAACTCAAAGTATCTACTATTAACCGTTGAAGAGTTCCACCTATCCACCTTCTGCCCTTACCATCAGATCAGGTCAACAATACCGAACCACTGTACTATCAACAGAAAAAGAAACACTTGCAAAGTTTCAAGTCGATATGACAATTAGAAGTAGGTTAAATCCATCATTAGCTATTTTTCCACCCTTAGGGGTGGTATTTTTTTTTGAAATTTAAATGGGACCAATCTGGAAGTATACCCTTTCAAACAAAACAAAAATTGTCCAAATCGGTTAATAAATGACGAAGTTCTGAGGTAACAAACATAAAAAAAAAAACAAAAAAAAAATACATTCGAATTGAGAACCTCCTCCTTTTTGAAGTCGGTTGAAAACTACTGTTGATCTAATGTAGTAGTTGAATAAAAATCATAACGTTAGCGTAATACGTTATTTAAATCGAAACGGTACTAATATGCGATGCATATTTGTAAAGTGTGTACGGTTGCAGGAGAAGTACGTGTACTGGGTGGACACGTGGGACGTGAGCGTGTGGCGCATGCGCTACGACGGGTCGGCGCGGGCGCGCGTGGCGCGCGGCGCGCCGCTGCGGCACCCCGTGGCCGTGGCGCCCTACCGCGGCCGCCTCTACTGGCTCGACACGTACGCACATGCTCACACGATACACTACTTCGATTCGACTCGTTCGATGTACTCATTCGATTGGTTATTCGACAGGATGCTAAATCACGGCAGTGTGGCGTCGGCGCCTATCGCTAACGTGTCTGACTACACGATCCTCGCCGACAACTTGGGAGACAGCCTGAAAGATTTAATAGTAAGTAATAATATTTCATTGTTATTGTGAAATGTGATTACTAAAAATTATACATCTGCATACCTCTCAAAAGAGAAACATATGAGAGTCGACTAGTCGGGGGAATGCAGTATCCTTGCCGTTATGCCGCACACATGTGTACAGATCTGGTCGAAGGCGCTGCAGACGGCGGGCCCGGCGGGCGCGGCGGAGCACCCGTGCGCGCGCGACAACGGCGGCTGCGCGGCGCTGTGCCTGTGGGGCGGCGGCGGCGCGCGCTGCGCCTGCCCGCACGGCGAGCTCGCGCCCGACGGCAAGACCTGCACACGTCAGTGCCACTCCCCTCTCTCCCTCTCCCTCTCACGCTCTCACCGCACTCATGTCTCGCTTGACCTCCCGCAGCGTACAGCAGCTTCCTGATGTACACGCGCGTGACGGCCATCGACAGTATCGACCTCGACGCCGAGAAGAACCTCAATTCACCGTATCCGCCCATCGAAAACAAGTAAGTCATCATGTTTATATATTAATTTTTTTTGTATACGACTGTTTTTACCTGAATAAATAAATAAATAAAATAAATAAATAAATTAATTAATTTGTTAATGAAAAACTCTACCTACTAATATGATAAACTCGAAAGATTGTGAGGATGGATGGATGGCTGTTTGTTATTCTTTTTAAGTTAAAGTTCTTTATAAGTTTATTCACTATATGTATATATAAATTATAACTTAATTTTTTATTTGAATATATTCCAAAACAAGCTGAAACAATTGATACGTGTCGTGCAGGACGCTGCTGCGAAACGCCATCGCGCTGGCCTACGAGTACTCGTCGGCTACGCTATTCTACTCCGACATCCAGCGCGCCGCCATACACGCCGTGCATTTCAACGGCTCCGCCCACCGCGTGCTGCTGCCGCGTGAGTCTTCTTCATGTATAATGTAATCCCCCAGAGTCCCCTGGAGATGACGAGATAGCTCTGTAAGTTTTAGTTACTTCCATAACAAAATTCCCTATGATCTAAATACAAAAACACATTACATTTACATTACATACACAACATTTGGAAAATGAACATGATGAAATTAGCTGAAAGTGAAATGATGAAGTTAGTTGCATTCCTTTTACAAACAGAGAGTTGTGACATACGGGATGAAATCTTTAGCTATTTTTGTTCTGTTATGCCAAACAAGTATAACTTCTTACGTGCGTACATAAGTACACACACACGACTTTTTTTTTGTTTATTTTTAATGACATCGTGTGTGAGTACATGAGGTGTGTGCCGCAGAGGCGGGGTCGGTGGAGGGCATGGTGTACGCGGAGGAGACGCGCACGCTGTACTGGGCCAGCGCGGCGCCGCCCGCCCTGCGCGCCGCGGCGCTGCCCGCCCTGCTGGGCGCGCCGCCCGCCGCGCGCGCGCGCCTCGTGCGCACGCTGGTGCCGCTGCGCGCTGGCGACCGCCCGCGCGGCATCGACTACGACCCCTGCGAGAAGTCAGTGCAGTGAACACACTACTCTGTATATGTTTCTATTTCATTTTTTTTTTCAACATTTATATTTTACAGATACGTTTTTAATTGGCGTTAAGAAGCGGAAATAAAATACAAATTTATTTTTTCTTTACGAAATATTCATTTTAATATATTCTTTTGATCTTTCAATTAACTTGCGTATACCTTCGAAAAAAATATTTGAAAAATAAACTGAAACAGCGTTGCTTCCCTTTTATTTAAATAAATTTCCATGATTGAAGAAGACCGAAGACGATCACATCATTTACAAGCTGTAGTTATTGGTTATCTTCTTCTGTCTCCCGGTCTATAGTATACCTAATGGCCCTTAAGACGAAAACGTTCTTTAACGACTGTTTTAATGTAATTTGTTTAAAAATGTAATTAAGTAGCGTTAATTTATGAGTGAGGTGATACTGAGTGTGTCGACACGCAGACGGATATACTGGACGAACTGGAACTCGTCGCGGCCGGCGGTGTGGCGCGCGCGCGCCAGCGGCCGCGCCCGCCAGGTGCTGGTCAGCACCGACGTGCTCATGCCCAACGGCCTGGCGCTGGAGCACGCCGCGCGCCTGCTCTACTGGGCCGACGCTCGCCTCGACAAGATCGAGCGCATGCACTACGACGGCTCGCACAGACAGGTCGCCGCATACATACATACATACATACCTTATGAAATGCTTACCGTATTGTTTGTTGCAATGGTTATTTTAAAGAAAATCAAATCTCGCTTTATCAATCGTCCTAATTTATTTTTACGGTAGTCGTTTCTGTCGAAAGACGATTGTTATCATATAAAAAAATCAATTAGTTTCGTGCCATTCGCACCCGAGGTGTTCCTGGTAGTTGCAATTCATCGATTCATAGAGTATACGAATCGATGAACTGCAAAGTGTTTGTGTGTATATAGATAGTGGTGCGGTCGCACACGGAGCACCCGTTCGCGGTGGCGGCGGGCGGCGGCTGGGTGGCGTGGACGGATTGGGTGTCGCGCGGCGTGTTCGCGGCGCGCGGCGGCGAGCTGCGTGTGCTGCGGCGCGACGTGCCGCGGCCCTGCGCGCTGGTGCTGGTGGCGCCGGCGCGCCAGCGCTGCGCCGCCGACGTGTGCGCCGCCGCCGCCTGCGCTGAGCGCTGCGCGCCGGACGCGCACGGCCACGCCGCTTGCGCGTGCGGCGCGGGCCGGCGCCTGGCGCGCGACGGCCGCGCCTGCGAGGCGCCGGCCGCCGCGTGCGCGCTCGGCCAGTTCGCGTGCGCCGAGGGCCCGTGCCTGCCCGCGCACCTCGTCTGCGACGGCGTGCCGCACTGCAGCTCCGAGCTCGACGCCAGCGACGAGGACCTGTACTATTGCAGTTAGTATTAGTATATTCTTACCACTAACAATAGACGTTATACTTTGTTATTTTGTTATGTTTGGCGGTAACTACACGATTATTTCTATTAGTAAAATGAAATTCGCTAATATAAAATATACGTCTAATTCTAAGAGGCGCTAAAATAAACAACTAGGGGTGAAAACTGCTTGGATCACAGAATTCTAAGAACTAAGCTTCCGGCCTATACATTTGTCTATAATACGACGGTAACTGATCACTATTCCACGCTACTTTGCATTCACAAAAAATATACGCGAACGTCGACTGCTTCAATAATTACTAAAATAGTCAATGAAGAGCTTGACAAATCAATGTTACAATTGGATTTTAACCACCTTTTCCTCTTAAAGAACGCAAATATAATTATGGATAAGTTCATACAATTGGTTACTACCGCAATTTCCAAAAATTCGACAACTAAAAGAGTCCCATCAAAAAAGAAAATTCTTAAACCCTGGATCACTCCCGGTTTATTAAGGTGTATAAGAAATAGAGATGCATTACATAGGAAGGTAAGTAAGTCTCCAGATAATGAAGTGTTATAAATCACCTACAAGAGATATAGAAAAGAGCTTATGACACACAAGAAATTAGTAAGGCAAGCAATAACCCAAAAGCGCTATGGGATACACTTAAGCAAGTAACGAACTGTATTAAAACTAAAAACTCCCCAACACCACTACTTACATTGTCTCCCTCACCAACTGAGTCGTGTAATATAGTAAATTCACATTTTGTAAACATTGGCGAGAAACTAGCAAATAATATAATTAACGAGTGCAAAAACTATCCTCATAATATATCAAACGGCCTACAAAACTCAAATGATACACTACCAACATCTTCCCTGGTCCTTGACCGTACAGATCCTAATGAGATTATTACAGTTATAAATTCCTTACGATCAAGTGCTGCTACTGGCTGGGATGGCATATCACCCTTATTCCTAAAGAAATACTCAACCACTCTGGCACCTGTCTTAAGCCACATATTTAATCTCTGCTTTGAGACTGCTGTCTTTCTTACTTTACTTAAAAAAGCAATCATTCATCCAATCTTCAAGGGAGGTGACGGAAGCCTTCCAAATAATTACCGACCGATAGTAGTTCTGAGTGCCTTATCGAAGGTACTCGAACGATTAATTAATAAAAGGCTAACACACTATCTCGAACACTTTAGCCTAATATCACGACAACTTTGGCTTTCGCAAAAATAAATCAACAAATGACGCTGTTCTAAATTTGACTGATTATGTCGTACAAAATCTAAATGAAAACAAGAAGGTTCTTACTGTATTTCTAGATCTCACGAAGGCATTCGACACCATTCCCGTCACCACTCTTATGCTCAAACTTGAAAGATTAGGTGTCAGGGGGTTACAATTGGATCTACTTCAGAATTACCTCACAAACCGTTCGCAGATAGTCAGGATCGATAACCACAATAGTGATGAGCTTCCCATCCATTACGGGCTCCCACAAGGAAGCATACTAGGTCCCACCCTATTTCTTGTTTGTATCAACGATTTATGTAATCTTAAAATCCCGAATGCTAATGTTGTATCATATGCTGATGACACCGCTATAACTTTTATTGCAGATACCTGGTCCGATCTTGAGCATATGGCACAACCTGGAATAAACTTAGCCTTAAACTGGCTACGTTCCCACACACTGACTGTTAATAGCTCAAAAACTAACTTTGTTACTTATTCAATCACTTCAGCCTCTCAACCAAATTTTCCATTATCCCTCAAAGCTCACACTTGCTATACACAAACATCAACCTCTTGTCATTGTCCTAAAATAACTTCAGTTAACTGCATAAAGTACCTAGGTATAATCATAGATAAGAATCTAAATTTTAAGGCCCATATTTACCTAATTACAGGCAGAGTCCGCAAACTAATATATATTTTTAAAACTCTAAGAAGTATTGCTAACCAAAATATTATACGAAATGTATATTTTGCACTGTGTCTTTCTATTATTACATACTCCATTACTTCTTGGGGTGGAGTAGCTAAAACAACTTTAAAACCGCTAGAGGTCGCACATAAAGCGATATTGAAGGTAAGTACCTTCCGCCCAATTTTTTTCCCAACCATACAGCTGTATAATGAATGCAACGTTCTTAACGTACGCCAGCATTTTATTCTACAAACGATTCTTCTGCAGCACCGCAAGAGTCCCTACAGAAAAATTAACAAACGTCGCAAAGACAAAATCTGTGCACTTCCACGAGCACGGTCAGCATTCTGTAAGAGATTTTTCTATTATTTAGGGCCATCTTTATACAATAAGATTAGTCAAAAAAGTCCAATATTTGGCTTATCCTACTACAACTGCAAAAAAGTGTTCGTTCTTTCCTACAAAACAAAACCTATAATGAAACAGAAAAATACCTAACTTAGACGTATAAACTCAAACACATACATGCACACACATTCGCACACACACACACACACACGGACACACACACGGACACACACACACGCACGGACACACACACACACGCGGACACACACACACACGCAGACACACACACACACACGCGGACACACACACACACACGCGGACACACACACACACACACGCGGACACACACACACACACGCGGACACACACACACACACACGCGGACACACACACACACACACACACACGCACACACACACACGGACACACACACACACACACACACGGACACACACACACACGGACACACACAAACGGACACACACACGGACACAACAATCCATTATCATTTTCATTCATTTACTCAGTTATCAAGTTAATGTTACTGCTAACGATAGAACCTAGTATTGTAATTAGTTGATAGTATAAATGAAAACATATTGTACGGTACATAAATATACAGGTAAATATCCAAAGGGGAACGGGACTGCTACTCCTTAATACAGATTATTTTTATAACCTAGCAAGGAGTACAGTACTTCACCCAACCGTATGAAATTGATTTGTACAAGCCTTCACTGTAAAAATTACTATGTTCAATTTCCTTATTTATGAATAAAGTTATTATTATTATTATAATACGACTACGTCCACGGATACCCCGTGCTCGGGCCGGCATCGCACGGTATGAGTCGCTAATGTGTCGCAGCGTCGCGCGCGTGCCCGGCGGAGGCGTGGGCGTGCGGCGCGGGCGGGCGCTGCGTGGCGGCGGCGCGCGTGTGCGACGGCCGCGCCGACTGCGACGACGGCTCCGACGAGGCCGACTGCGACTGCCCCGCCGCCAGCTACAGGTACACACACACACAACACTTATATAATGACAATTGTCATATCTACATAATATATTAAAATTATAAAGCAGTTTATTATTATTATATATAAAGGTGGTGAAAAAAGTCGAGGTAAAATATTTTAGTAACGGAAATTCTTTTTTTGGAAAGTGTTGTCTTTTGCCCTGATCTTGTCTTGGATTGAAAATGAAATTCAAAACGAGTACGTTCTACAATTTCAATTATGCAACAATAATAATGTCAGTGTATATTTTTGATTAAAGATTAATATGAGTTGACCGTTGTCGTCAGATGCAACGACAGCACGTGCGTGGACATCGGCGCGCGCTGCGACGGCGCGGCGCAGTGCCCTGACGGCTCCGACGAGGCGGGCTGCGCCGTGCGCGACGCCTGCCTCGAGCTCGGCCTCTGCGACAACGGTACGTCCGCGCCGCCACCACCACCGCCACCGCGCACTACGCTCTCTCTATCATATTCAGTGAATAATTCTATATTGCAGTGACTACTGTCGCCCCTGACTCGGATTCCGGCTACGACGTGGAGACTTTCGAGGAGCAGCCGGTGCTGGGCTGCAGCAGCGAGCAGTTCCAGTGTGGCGGCGGTGACCCGCGAGGTGCCGTGGAGTGCGTGCCGCTGGCGTGGCGCTGCGACGGACGCGTCGACTGCACGGACGGCTCCGACGAAACCCTGCACTGCGGTACCGTGCACTTTACATATATGTTTAATATAATTTTAATGAAATAAAATAATTAACTACCTACTCACCGCCTACAATTCTCGTTAAACTGATGACTGTGTAACGAACACTCCGCAGGGCACGGCAACGGGAGCGCGCGCGCGTGCGGAGTGGGGGAGATGGCGTGCGGCGGCGGCGGCTGCGTGGCGGCGGCGGCGCGCTGCGACGGCGCGCGCGACTGCCCGCGCGGCGACGACGAGCGCGACTGCGCCTGCGCGCCCGGCGCCTTCCGCTGCGCCGCCGCCGCGCTCTGCCTGCCCGCTGTCAGTACCGCACACCCACACCCACGCACACACACACGCACGCACTCACGCATGGATGAGTACGTTTTAATAGTCATCTTTATTTTAAACAGAGTCTGTACTGCGACGGTGACGTGGACTGCGATGACATGTCAGATGAGCCGCCCGGCTGCTCGATGCCGGCCGCCCCCACGCTTCCCCCCGCCCCAATACCGGCCTCCCCCTCTGGCGCCCCCCCTGCCGCTGCTAACTCCACGCCTAGCTTCGAGTCGTTGCTGTGCGCGGGCGAGCCCGGCTCCGTTTATTGCAAGTGAGTGTTGTGACTTTCGTAGTTTAGTATAGTGTGGCCGTTTCCGACAGTATACTGACAGACCGACGATGTGCACTGTGCAGGGGGCGGTGCGTGGGCGCGGCGCAGGTGTGCGACGGACGCGACCACTGCGTGGACGGCGGCGGCGGCGGCGCCGGCTCCGACGAGGACCCCTTCCTGTGCGGTAGTACTTGATGCACATAATTATTTTATTAAATTAAAATCTAGACGATATCACTTTTTTTAATCAAAATGATATTATAACGATATCGCAAATACTTGCAAATTGAGGATGTTCGTTGAAGTCAGTTAATGAAATCGGTCGTATGTTGCGGTGCGTAGCGTCGTTCGCGACGACGTTCGGGTCGGAGGCGGAGGCGGCGGTGGCGCGCGCCGGCGACGCGTGCGGCGGCGCCTGGCGCTGCGGCAACGGCGCCTGCGTGCCGCGCGCGCGCCTCTGCGACGGCCTCGACCACTGCGGCGACTACACCGACGAGTGGCGCTGCAGTACGTACACTACGACCACTTGCCAGTTCGCATTGTATATACACATCCATTATAATACTTTGTCACGACACTCGACGTGGAAATGAGAAACGAGTGAAAGGGAGAGTATAAAACGCTCATATCTATAGATGTGAACGAGTGCGCTACACACAACGGCGAGTGCGCGCACAACTGCACGGACCTGCCGGTGGGGCGCGCGTGCTGGTGCCGCGCGGGCTGGCGCCGCGCCGGCCGCGCCTGCCGCGACGTGGACGAGTGCCAGGAGGACCGCCCCTGCGACCACCGCTGCCGGTACAGTGCTCGCTCGATAGCTTATGTTACGTTTGTTTATCAATTATATTATTAACATCTAATTTATTTTTTCAGAAACACATTAGGTAGCTACGTGTGCTCGTGCGCAGAGGGGTATCGACTGATGGAGGACCGCTCCAGCTGCACGCCGATATCGCACGTGAACGCGTCGCTGATCTTCACGAATCGCTACTACATCCGGCGCACGGCGCTGGCGGGCGAGGGCGGGGGCGGCGAGGCGGCCACCACGCTGCTGGTGCACAACCTCACCAACGCCGTGGCGCTGGACGCGCTGTGGGCGCGCGGCTGCCTGCTGTGGAGCGACGTCACGCGCCTCGGCTCCTCCATCAAGCGCCTGTGCCGTGACGAGAGCGCTAACGACGCGGCGGTAACACACATACATTTATAATTTTTTTATTTGTAATTATTTAATTTTTTTATTTATTTATTCAGGTAAAAACAGTCGTATACAAAAAATCTTAAACAGTAAGAATACAATTAGACCTATATTACCCTATATTACCTAAGTTATTACAAATGAACTGATTTGTCATCAAAAGTGACGGATACTAAATAAGTATGTTTTACAAAATTAATTGAAAAAAAATATTAAATGAAACTAAATTGAGGCTACTAATAAAAAAAATCTCTTCGATGAAGGCAAAAGTTCGATTTATTATTATCTGTTGAACGGAAAATGAAAACATCGACATATGACATTTCGCAAAGATTGTGCAGTGAATCCTCTACATATGCAATAAGCGAATGTCCGCTGGCGCAGGGTGAGCTGCCGCCCATCGGCGGCGTCGCGGCGGGTGGCGCGAGCGGCGCGGGCGGCGGCGCGGCGCGCGTGGTGGCGGGCGCCACGCTGCAAAACCCGGACGGGCTGGCGGTGGACTGGGTGGGCGGCAACGTGTACTGGTGCGACAAGGGCACGGACACGCTGGAGGTGGCGCGGCTGGACGGGCGGCACCGGCGCGTGCTGCTGCGCGCGGCGCTGAGCGAGCCGCGCGCGCTGGCGCTGCTGCCGCGCGCCGGGCTGCTGTACTGGTCGGACTGGGGCACGGCGCCGCACATCGGGCGCGCCGGCATGGACGGCGCGGCGCCACGCGTGCTGCTGGCGCACGGCCTGGGCTGGCCCAACGCGCTCACGCTCTCGCCCGCCTCCAACGAGCTCTTCTTCGCGGACGCGCGCGAGGACTACATCGCCGTGGCCGACCTGGACGGCCAGCACGTGCGCATACTCTTCTCGAGAGGTCATTCGTTATATTATTTGTGACATTAGTGCTTAATATGTTGTGTATATTTTGAAATTCAAATTATGATCATAATCGTTACTCCAATCGCGGTTGTTAAAATATATTTATTTTTATAGTTTCTTATGTTAGTAGAAACAAATAAGCTGAAATCATTTTTTTTTTCTAAAAAGTCTGAATTTTTGTTCTAAGCGAATTTAAAATATTCTTTTGGTATGGTGGTGCTATGAAGGTGTTGATAATTTGGTGCTCGATAAGTTATGTGTACGTAAATGATACGTAATGATACATAAGGATGATGCGTAAATTGTACGTATTTGATAAGTTATGTCTATTATTTTAATTAGGAGAATAACGCTCAACACAATCACATCCATATCGAGTTTAAACATTTATTATTATTAACTCAATGCAAAACAGTCCACCAGAAAGTGCATAAGATAAGAAGGAGATTTTCAATTGAATAAGGATGCAGGGAAAAGTAAACAGGGAAAACAGGACGTAATTACAAGAGCGTAAGGTACAATTTCGAATGCATAGAATCGTAAACAACAAAGTTTTGCAAGGCTTTCGGCCTTTATCCAATTAGAGCACTAGAGCGCATTATGCGGTATAATTCTCAACAGGGTACGTCACTAGCGTAAAAAATAGATCTGGCCGTTGGGGGTCGTTTTGGCTAGCAAACACTATCAGAAAAAAATCGATTTCAGAGCTTATTTGATTAGACTAAATATAGTTACAAAATTTACCCATTTACATACTTATTTTATATCGTAAATAACCTTTACTGTGCGCTGCGCAGACCGCATGCCGTGGCTGCGGCTGCACCACGTGTTCGCGCTGGCGGTGTGGGCGGGCCGCGTGTACTGGACGGACTGGGAGACGCGCGCCGTGGAGTCCTGCCGCCTCGTGCCCGACCCGCACTTCAATGTGAGCACCGAAACCGACTCAGTTCACTTAATTATGTTAAAATAGAAAGTTTTATAAAGTTATGAACATAATTCTGCATATGTGATGTGTTTAGGTGTCGGAAGTGGTGCCGTTGTCGAGTGGCGACGCCTACCGCTGCCGCACGGAGGTGCACACCGTGCACAAGCCCATGGATCTGCGCGTGCTGCACCCCGCGCGCCAGCCGCCGATACCGCGTATTTATTAATCTTAAATTCAGTTTTTTATGACAAAACAATTATGGCTATAACCAGTAAAAATAGGAATATAATTTCATAAATCAAGTACTATAGTATAATATTATATTTCCATATCGTACGCAGATCTGACGGCGCTGTGTGAGACGCTGAACTGCACGGGGCTGTGTCTTTTGACGGCGGAGAGCGAGCCGGGTGGTGGTGCCGGCGCGCGCTGCGCCTGCCCCGAGCACTTCGTGCTGGAAACCGACGGGCGCTCGTGCCGACCCAACTGCACCTCCTCGCATTTCGTGTGCAAGGACGCCCTCAAGTGCATCCCCTTCTGGTGGCGCTGCGACACGCAGGACGACTGCGGCGACGGGTCCGACGAGCCGGCCTCGTGCCCGCCCTTCCGCTGCTCGCCCGGACAGTTCCAATGCGGCAACGGTCGCTGCGTGCACCCCGCGCACATCTGCGACGGCGCGCAGCACTGCGGCGACGGCTCCGACGAGCGCGACTGCGACCGCTTCACCTGCCTCGCCTCGCAGTGGAAGTGCGCCGCCGCGCCGCCGCGCGCCGCGCGCTGCGTGCCCGCCGCCGCGCGCTGCGATGGCGTGCGCGACTGCGCGCTGGGCGACGACGAGCGCGACTGCCCGCCGCCCACCTGCCCGCCCCATCATGTGAGTGTCCACCCCTGTATGTCTCGCCCCCTGCCACCGTCGCCCCTCCGCCGACACGCTCACTGACTCCGCCCCCGTGTGCAGTTCCAGTGCGGCACGGGGTCTTGCGTGCCGCTGGTGTGGGTGTGCGACGAGGACGGCGACTGCGGCGACGAGTCGGACGAGGGCGCGCACTGCGCCAACCGCACGTGCCTGCGCAGCGAGTTCCGCTGCGGGTCGGGGCGCTGCGTGCCGCGCGACTGGCTGTGCGACGGCGAGCCCGACTGCCCGGCGCGCGAGGACGAGGCGAACTGCGATGCGCGCGCCGCCTGCGACCCCACCTACTTCCGCTGCGGCGACCTGCGCTGCGTGCCTGGCCGCTGGCGCTGCGACTTCGAGGAGGACTGCCTTGACGGCTCCGACGAACGCGACTGCACGCCGCGGAACTGTTCCGAGTCAGAGTTCCGGTAACGTCCATACCCCTCATACATATGTATCGTGGTGGTGGTGTGTGCGAGGTAACAGCGCGCTTGCCTGCAGGTGCGACAGCGGCGAGTGCATCCCGGGCGCGCTGCGCTGCTCGGGCGCGGCGGAGTGCGCGGGCGGCGAGGACGAGCGCGCCTGCGCCGCCGCCTGTGCGCCGCACGCGCGCCTCTGCGCGCTCTCCGGCGAGTGTCTGCGCGAGTCAGTGTCGCACGGTTTCAGTATTTTTGAATAATAAGGAGTTCTTTTTTTATAGCTGTCATTTTTTATTATTTGACAAAATCTATAACATAGCACACAAGTATGACTTCATACTTTATTTTCATTCGTCTCATTACGTCATCTCAGTTAGATAGAGATATAAAAGCCAATTAAAGTTATACAAAAAAATATCTTGAGTGATTAGCTCTCTTTCTAATAATCAATAATCTAAATCTAATCAATAATCGGAAATAGTAGTATTATTGTTAGCGAGTAAATTGCGCAGAGAGTGGTGGTGCGACGGCGAGGTGGACTGCGCGGACGGGTCGGACGAGGCGGCGTGCGCGGCGGCGGCGGGCGCGGGCGCGGGGGCGGCGGCGTGCGGCGCGCGCCTGGCCTGCGCCGGCGCCTGCGCGCCCGCCGCCTGGCGCTGCGACGCGCGTCGCGACTGCGCCGACGGCGCCGACGAGCAGCACGCGCTCTGCGCGCACACCGCCTGCCCGCCGCCCATGATCAGGTGCGGAGACAACACGTGCATCCCTCCGCAACTGATGTGCGACGGCTTCGATGACTGTACCGATTCCAGTGACGAAAACCCTCTGATATGTATGTATATAATACGCTATATTTAAATTATTCTGTTCTATTATTCAAATGTGGTATGTCTTAGAGGTTCCAATGATAAACGTCTTCTTAAGTTGGAGACATGTTTAATAATCAGAATATAATAAGTAAATTTATAATGAAGCTTAGCTTAATGGGTGGTCGACCATATATGGATGATACATGAGAGATTGATGATACATTACTAAAGTATGGCTTACAGTACTTAATGATATACTATCACTATACTAATGCTATACTATATTATGCTATATTATACTATACTTAATGTATAAACATTTTACACTTCATTATAAAGCCCAATAACGAGTAAACTCCACTCCGTAGGCAGTCGCACCAACGCGGACTCGCTGTGTGCCGCGGACGAGCAGCTGTGCGGCGACGGGCGCTGCATACCTGCTACCACCTCCTGCGAGCCTGGTAATATAATTTCAAACTCCTTGTATATTTTAAATTTTCACTGTTAATAGTTTTATATTGTGACTTTTTTTACACGAGCGATTTAACATAAAGTGTCGTGCACCGCAGAGGCCGGCGGCTGCGGCTGGCGCACGTGCCCGCAGCGCTGCCTGCCCAAGCACGCGCACAACCACACCTGCAAGTACGTACTCCTCGTCCCGCCGCACCACACCGCCACAGTACAACACCTACAACCCGTGATTACATAAATAATCTATTGAATGTTTGTCTCCATTTATTTACAGATGTGTGCCCGGATACAAGCAGCACCAGCTAGCGGACGGCACCTTGACTTGCGAAGCTACAGGTGACGTCATAATTCGTTGGTTCACTATTACAAGGTTCTATGTTAATTTTAATGAAGTTTATTAATTTGACTAAAATTTTTGACTTTCGAAAAATGTATACTTATTAGTACATAGCATATAGTAATCCCTAAGTGACAGTTTATTAGCATAATTAAGGTCTACATAATGCTTTATAGGAACTAAAAATTGGATATTGACTTTAATATTAAGCAATATTATCGGAATTAAAATAACATAGATTTTTGTGATAGAAAAAAAATATTTTTATTTAGTTTAACCAGAACTTAGGACTTTGTTTCATGGAAATAAGTAAAAGATATTAATTTATGTCCAAGTTAAGTATTAATTTTCTTGAGTCGTCTGAACTATTATAAAGATTATATGTAATCATGTCTCAGTAGCATTAAAACATTACTTGTATGTGAAATTTATTTATTATCATAAAAAATGGTTTACACTTTGAATATTGCCGCAAAGAACTTGTCCACTGTTGGCATAGATGATTCTGCTGTGTGTGAACATCTAAAGCTCACTTCAAATTGTAAATAAAACTCTATGCAAGGTCCTCTGTTTATCATAGAACCTTACTATCCTAAAAAAAAGCAAAAATTGAATGGTTCTATGTTTAACATAGAACCTTGCTATACAGAAAAATATAAAAACCAAAATTGAACAGTTCTATGTTTTACATAGAACTTCGTTATTTTGTTATCGTAAAGAAAAACAACATAGAACTATGTAAAATTGAATATTTTGTAGGTAAAGTGCTGCTATCTAGTGGTTTGTTTTTGCAAAACTGTAGCTAATGACACATAGAACCTTGTAGCATTCAAGAACCTTGTAGCATTCATAACTAAATAACTACTAAAATTGTAACATAGAACCTTGTAATAGTGAGCCAACGATATCATAATATAGGCTTATTATTACTGTAGTATTTTGAGGTTAAAGACCTGTATGAAGGTTTATTTCGAGTCATCTTCTAGTGTTCTTTAATTACGTCGTCTAATTACGATTTAATTCAATTCAATGATCTTTATATACTCTTACTTGTTTTAACATACATTTTAATTTAAAGGCAGTTGTTGTCCCGTCACTTTATTTTTATAGATTTTTTTTTTGTAACTATAGGGGAGAAGGCAAAGTTGCTGGTGGCGTCTAACGGCGTGTTGCGCCTGCTCGAGCTGCACAAGCACGACCACGAGCCGCCGCTTCCTGACGACCCCGACAGGTATGACAGGTGACAACGGGAAAATCGTTAAACGTCAAAAACTTATTATAGTTGTAAAAAAAATAATTATAATATTCGTATATTTATTTGCGGTTATATAACTATACTTCATATATTTATTAATTGCAATTTCATATGATAGTGTTGTCGAATGAGAGTCTGGTTAATTGTCATACGGGCAGTCCTGGTGCTATAACTAGTCTCTCACAAAAGAGCTGTAGCTAACGTGTGTGTGTATGCGTGCAGCGCGGAGATCGTGTCGGTGTGCGCGGCGCCGGTGGGCGGCGCGTGGTGGGCGTGGTGGGGCGACGCGCGCGGCCGCGTGCGCCGCCTGCGCCTGCGCGCGCCCGCCGCCAAGCGCCCCGCCGAGCTGCTGCCCGCGCTGCCGCCGCCGCCCGCCGCGCCCGCGCCCGCCGACCTGGCGCGCGCCGACACCGTCGTCGGCGGCGGCGGCGTCGTGCGCGGCGTGGCCGTCGACCCGCTGTCGGAGCGCCTCTACTGGACCAGCGTGACGCAGGGCGGCGCGGGCGGCGTGCTGGGCGCGCTGCACGCCGCCACGCTGGACGGCCGGCGCCGCGTCACGCTGTGGCAGCAGCCCGGCGCCGAGCCCGACGACGTCGTCATATCTGTGGAAACCGGGTGCGTCTTTATATTATAAGCTCCGTATTTAATATTCATGGTTCAGTTAATTATAATAATCATAATATATAAGTTCGAGACGATTCATTAATATTGAATTTGGTGATCGCAGTGAGATCTTCTGGTCGGAGCGCGGCGCGCTTGGCGGCGTGCTGGGTGCACGGCTGGACGGGGGCGGGCGCCGCTGGGTGGTGCGCGCGCGCAGCCGGCGGGGCGGCGCGCTGGCGCTGCTGGCGCCGGCCGCGCGCCTGTACGCGGTGGACACGTACTACGGCGCGCTGCTCAGCGTGACGCTGGGCGGCGGCGACCGCGCCACGCACCTGCTGTTCCGCCCCGACGCCGGCGCGCCGCTGCCGCCGCACATCGACAAGAACAAGGGTCAGTACTCGACGACGTCTCACTTATTAACCGACTTCCAATTCCAAAAAGGAGGAGGTATTCAATTCGTCGGAATCTTTTTTTTATGTATGTTCACCGATTACTCGAAGACGCCTGAACCGATTTGGATTTTTTTTTGTTGTTTCAAAGGGTATACTTCCCAGGTGGTCCCATATAAATTTTATCGAAATCAGTCGAGCGGTGTTTAAAAAAATCAGCAATATATTTTTTTTTTTAAATAAATTGTTAAATCGAATATGTTATTAAAAAACTTTCTTCTTATAAATTACCTGCTTATTACGTCTACACTAAAAATGGAAAAATAAAAACATTTTAACAAAAAATAAAAACCGACTTCCAAGCACTAAAATGTAAAAAATAAGTAAATGGAGATTTTCATTTAGAATAAATAGCTAATCAGATATTTTTAAAGTCGGTGTAAGAAAATATTATTCGATGATTATTTTCTCAAGTAAGCCAAAAACATCTTTTTTATTATTTTGGTTCAAAAAGGTACTTTTTTCATCACTTTGGATCAAAAGGGTACTTTTTTCATCACTTTGGATCAAAAGGGTACTTTTTTCATCACTTTGGATCAAAAGGGTACTTTTTTTATTACTTCGGATCAAAAGCGTACTTTTTTATAAATTCGGATCAAAATTGCACTTTTGCTAAATTCAACTAATAATAGCACTGGAAATTATAAAGTTTTTTTCCATAAAAATTAAATTACGCCTTTATCACCACGAGCACTATACATGGGAATAAAAAAAAGGATAAAATAATTTATAGCTTAAAGTAAACAGTTTTTTACTTGTATTGAAAAAAAACAAAAAAATTAAAAGATACCCTTTTGAAAATCAGCTCCTCATTTATGGGTCACAATTTTTCATTCTGGTTAAAGACATTTATTTCTCTAAAGAATTTTTCATTTCGATTAGAACATACAATGTGATGATGAAATGAATGATCATGATGTGAAACTTGTCGTGCGCCGCCCAAACTACTCGTTTCTTTTTGGTGAATGAGATATGAATCCATTCGGTAAAGGTAGTTAATTTGAATAAATATTAATCTGAATGATTGCTTGCAGAGGGCACGGAATGGCAGCGTGTGAGCAGCCGTGCGTGCGTGCGCATGGCGGTGTGGGAGGAGTGGGTGTGGTGCGCCACGCCGCGCGGCCTGCTGCCGCTGCCGCGCCGCCCGCCACCGCCCGCCCCCGCCCCCGCCCCCGCGCACGCGCCGCTGCGCCACCGCGCGCCCGTGTCTGCGCTTGCCATCCTACACCCCGCGCTCTTCCACTCTCTGCTCACGAGTAAGTATTGCGCTATACACTTTACATAAAAAATGTTTAATTTAAATTACATTCATCCTCGCAATGACCGCAGTGGACGACCCCTGCCGGCCGGCGGACGGCAGCGCCGCGTGCCACGACAGCGCGCTGTGCCTGCGCGGTGCCGCGGGCCGCACGTGCGTGTGCCCCGACGGTCTCTTACCTTCCAACGACCACAGCGATGTGAGATATATTTGAATAATAAATGAATTAATAATGCATTATGTTTGTGAAATATTTTTTACAATAATCATACTTGACACTCGTGCCGTATCCGCCAGGAGCGGCTGGAATGCGTGATGTCGCCGGCTGGTGCGGGGGCGGAGGCGGGCGGCGCGTGCCCCGGCGGCTGCGGGCCGGGCGCGTGCACGGGCGCGGGCGCGTGCGCGTGCCCCGGCGAGTACGCGGGCGCGCGCTGCCAGCACTACCGCTGCGCCGAGCACTGCCACCGCCGCGGCCGCTGCGGCCTGGCGCGCCCCGACGCGCCGCCGCACGTGGGCGACGACGACCTGCCGCCGCTCAAGGTGACCTCAGTATACGGCCGCTGTACATGTTATAACTTCATATGAAATGATCGTAAAGAAAATTTTCTAAAGAATTTTCATGTAATCCATTATAGCTAATTTCAATATTTTTTTAGTTAGTACAGTCATAAAAAATGCATTTTTATATATTATACTATGATTATATATTATATATAGGGGATTTTCCATCGTTATAAAACTGTCATGATATATATATACGTTTATAAACGATAAAGAAATGTAATAAATAAATTTAGTGTAATATAATATCTGTACGCTGGCGCAGTGCACGTGCTACCCGCGCTACTCGGGCGAGCGCTGCGAGATCAAGCTGGAGGCGCCGAACACGTCGCCCGCCACCGGCGCCGGCAGCGCAGCCGACACCACCAGCACCACCAGCAGCGCCGCCAGTGCCGGCCCCGCGGCGGACGCGTGCGGGCGCTGCGCGCACGGCGCCGCGTGCCGCCGCCTGCCCGCCGGCGTGCACTGCGACTGCGCCGAGGGATACGTCGGTGCGTGTTATTTATATATAAAGCAATACATTATAATATCAAATATTAAACGAAACTTGTTTGTAGTTTACCATCTCATGCTTAACATTGTACTTAAACTCAACACTGATAACGTATATTTTAAAAGTATATAAAAAAAAATTGGATAATTATATTTGAAAATAATCTTGGAGTGTTCAATGAAAGCTTGACGCCAATTCAGCTTGCAAAAGTTGTATGAGTAAGAATTTACAATTTTTTGTTTATATACAAAGTTTTATATTTATTTAATAGTTATCCCTATATGTTTCGGGCTGAATATAAACATCTTATCGCAGGAGAGAACTGCACGGAGTGCGCGGCGGGCGCGGCCGGCGCGGCGTGTCGCGCGGCGCCCTGCCGGGACTACTGTCTGAACGGCGTAAGTACTGCTCGTAGTTCTAATTTATATTAGCATTTACAAATATTCGTTTTTAGTTATTATTACCTGGACTACCGAGCTTCGCTCGGAGTTTTTGGCCTGGGGTACAATTTTCTTTTTATTTTTTTAAATTAAAAACTTGAATAAATATTTAAAAAAAACTGAAGTAAAAACTTTGTATGCGACCGGGATTCGAACCTGGACACCTGTGATTGTTGATCTTGCACCTTGGCCGCTGACCACGATGCTTATGCCAGAGCGTGCAAATTATCGACCATATTTTGCGTGGAACAATGCAAAAGAAAACTTTTTTCATGAAAATCGTTGGAGCCGTTTTCGAGATTCAGATTATATATACATATATATATATATATATATATATATATATATATATATATATATATAATCAATGTTACCGGTACTACATATAAAGTGGGTTCTAGTTCAGGCCGTATGAATACGACAAAACGCAGTGTCCTCATTAGGAACGAGCGTCATCATCGTAAAATTTGTTCTAAAATAGGATAAAACATAAAAGAACACATTACTGGTCATTGTCCGTCTCACAAAGATGAATCAGGTTTTTTATATGCATACAAACATACGAGCCCGGGACAGTATTATTATTGATGAATGATATAATATGGAATAATGCTTGTGTACGGCAGGGCACGTGCCGGGAGGAGGGCGGCGCGGCGCGCTGCGCGTGCGCGGCGGCCTGGCGCGGCGCGCGCTGCGAGCGCCCCGCGCCCGCCGCCCGCGGTGAGTGCACGGCTTATCATATTATACAAGCTCCTTATAAACAACCTCATTCAATAAATTTAATAACAACTAGTAGTTCCTCGCGAGCAGAAACTGCTCTTTAAGGAGCTATTCCGCTTATCACGCCGAAGATCCTCATCAGATCTTCACCTAATTTTTATGTGACCGACTTAAAGTTACTACCTTTCAAATATTAAAACAAAACACCATCGAAATCGGATCTCATAAGGGAAAGATATGCGGAGATATCCAGTAGCACACCTTTTTGCCCCTTTTTGGAGGCAATACCCCACCAATCAAAAATCCCCGACGACACAAAAAAACGAATGCATGTAACCTTTACGCGCGGTTGAATAAAACTTAATTGGCGCTTTAAATTAAAACAAAAATATAAAATATATAATACTTTTTATAAACTTATTAGTATAATAGCAATAAAACCACCACACCACAATCCCCTTAATACGTTTATTAATTTTGCGATAGTTTATTACGTCTTTGCAGTTTGCATCCTTCTTTAAAACTAAAACTTTCTCTTTCAACACGCCACGCCAACAGCCAAATACACTTTGTCCCTTTCACTCATTCTTTCTTTCATTCACACTTCACACATTAATTGTAATAGCTTTTATTTAATAACTTATGCAAATTCATCCCATAGTCATAAATATTCATTTTTATAAGTAATAATAATTATTATAAAATTATTAAAAACTAGTGACTCATCCTCGCTTCCTTTAGGTTCGTCCATAGGTACGTTTCGACGCTTGGAACAGATTTTTTTAATTTCGTGATTTTTTTTTCGATGTTTATATATAATAGTTATTCTGTTATTCGGAGTGGAAACATATCCAACAAAACAAAGATCATAAAAATCGGTCCAGCAGTACTCGAGTTTTAAGTGTTGTAACAAACCCGACTTTGTTTCACGGCAACTGTATATTTTTCCGAGATAAAAAGTGGCCTTTTTGTTATTCAAATGTATGAACTCTATTAACTTACATATTATTATAAGTATATATATATATATAAGAAAAATTTCAGTCAATGCTAGTGAACAGAGAAAGCATAGATAGATATAGATAATTTAACAAATGTTCGACGTGATACTTTAAATTGGCATAACTTTTATTATTTATGAACCGATTGACATGAAACAAACACTAAATTTTCAGTGAATCTTACCACAATATATTAGTGAAAACCAGATCTAAATCGTATAAGCCGTTTCTGAGATTAATGCAAAAAGGCTTCTTCAAATCGAAAAAATATACATATATTTTTATTACTATTAATAAATTTGACTCTCACTTCTGCGACACTTTTTTTCCTATGTTAGGGTATTGACCTACCCTCAGTCACATCTATAGAAGTTTTAATTGAAAAATTCTATTAAATCGTAAAACGTGCATACCAAGTTTCAATTAGATCGGTTGTAAAATACGAGCTGTGGAGGAGTACGAACAAACTGACAGAGGAGAGCAAATTTTACTAGACTTGAAGCAGAGACGTTTCGCTCGCTCGGTCAAATATGACATTTTTATCAAACATAAAGGATCGACCTAAGGATATTTTTTTCTGTTTTAATTAAGTTTCAGCTTTTGCGCTTTTCCTTATAGCTTCACATTTCCTCATGCAGGCCCATTTGTAAAGTTCAGGTAAAACTCACATAGAAATCTCTAAATTATTTTGTCATTATGAACGCATTTAATTCTAAACCTGCATCTGACGTGGCATAGTTGCGTGTATCATACGCTGCGGCGCCGACTCCGACTGAGTTTTCGCATTTACTCGACCGGTCGAATAATACTACGAGATCATTTTTACAAGTACACAATAGGTATGTGTATAAAGGATGATGTCATGACAATTCCACTTTTTTTTAATTGTCCAACTCGGAGTATTTAAGGAAAAATCATATTTTTGAGTCGCAAAAAGCCAAGCGACAATTAACATTTTATAAATGGTTCTCTTTGCATTGAATATTTTTTGTACTTTTCCGTACAGAAACCATATCTTAGCGTGGTTCAACAAAATAATATTTCCTTAAATAGTGCTCTAGTTCACGAAAATACCAACGACAGCGTAGAGGAAGAATAATATGATTAGTGTCCTCTTTTATATGGATTTACTTTACATTTAAATTAGACCAGGCGTTGCATTGACTGGGACGGACTGGGAAGTTGATGGCTGTGCAGCTCGAGCAAGTACACTATCATCAACAAACAAGCAGTTAAAAATTTATATCTAAGTTGCGTCTCTGCGACTATGAACTAGAACTGTATTAGCTGGTGTAGTTCACAGTTGCTAATAAAAGCCGGAGCTCGATACATCCGTGCATTCGACAATAACGTCGAAGTAACACCCAACCGAGAACATACCTATGTATTTGCTAGTTTTATTGGTGGAAGTGCGACTCCGGACAAAGATTCGTGTGTATGTATGTGAGACTATCCGAGTGTAACGATGTAGTCTTGTTTTAAAGTATTTACATATAGTGGGCCCCGGCCTCTGCCCCGCGTGCGCCGGCCGCGCCCGCACAGCTCCAGCGCGAACACTACTGTGAAAGATATCATTTCGATTGCGTTTACTTGTTTCGATATGTTAGCCAAGTAGGAGACCACGAGTAGTGGTCACTGGACAGTGACAGCAACAGTGCAGGCCGACTGTGCTCATTGACATAAATATTATTAATATTTCATAATTATCATCATTATTATATACGAGCGAGCCTCTTCGCTGTGCTCACACCCTACGCGCCTTTAAAAGCCCGTGTCGTAAACTTAAATTATATCTCTAAAGTCCTTCTTGTAACCCCAGGCTGGCTACATATCGTAGACAAATGTGTATTAAAATCTAGTTGATAGTAGGTATATAATATACCCCCCCAACGTGCGTTCACCTTGTCGTGGTGGGGGGGGGGGGGGCTCAGTAGCAGTAGCGAAGCTAAGAAACGCACAGGGAGGTTGCCCACTTCGGTGGGCGGTGGGAGGTGGCCCTCTTCAGGGGTCGGTGTACCATGCGGGTTGCTCCTGGTACTTCTCTGATAGCAGAGTGGACTGTGGAGCAACCCCATGGTTGTGGTGGTCTGCTTCGGCAGACCTGCCGTCGGGGCGTCGTAGTTGAATGCGTAAGCGATCCTGCGACGCCCCATTAAGACGGGGGAAGGTTTTGTTGGGTTTTAGTGGGTAGTACTGGCTGTATTACGCCGGTGAGTCCCACACGTCGTGCGTAAATGCATTTCCCAACGTTAAAAAAAAAAAGGTATATAATATACGATCTATACTAAAAATCATGTAAATGAGACAATTATATGTAAAATAAGCGACTGCGAAATAACTTTGAAAATTATTGTATCATAAAAAATGTAAGATATATATATGTATATAATCTTTATATTATATTCTTCGTTGAGTGACTCGACACTCCGTGCACAACCTATTGTAGAATGATGGGTGTTGGTTATATAAAGCTTATATACTATAAAAGCTATTACAACATTAAATAACAACATTAAAATATGCAACTATTTAATATATTGGCGATCAATGCAGAGCCTATAGACTAAAACGAATGATTTCAATGATGTTCGTATGTAAATGCTAGTTCAGTATGTTAGTAGATGAACTCACGTGGAAACCTGATGCTCTACAAGCTAAGTCAATTATACTGAGAGCCGGGAGTGGAGGGAGGTGGGGGGAGGGGAGGGAGGGGAGGCAGTAAATAGCGCTATTAGCAATTATAAGGTCGCTGAATTCGTATCGGCGGTGCATCGAGTGAGGTGCAAGTGGACGGAAAACTACGGAGGTACACTTCAGTGAGTCCCGTGAGTACTTTCATGATAAACGCGTACTATTAAAAAAACATTTTTTTATAATTTGTTTATTTTTATCAATAAGTATTTAACATGTAAAAAAGTCCATCCCGTGACCACGATTGCCGTTATGCATTCGAAACGTCGATAACCAAAAATTAAAATAGATCCGCAAAAAAATTTCAACACATAGTTTTGTTTAATATGTCAAGTATTCGTGTAAATCTGAGAGAGGATGTATGTAAAATATTTCACACAACAATCTACAGCTTGACAGTTCTATTTTCCTTATGTTTTATGTGTGAGAGCACCTCATATAGCATAAAGTACATGTCCCACGCGACTTATCGTTAGGGCTTTAGAACGAGTCTGAGGCGCGGTAGTGCACGGCGCCGCTCGGCCGCGGCCTTGACCTTCCGCCGCGCCGATTAAGCTCTCCCGCTGGAAGCGACTATCGCTTACTCGCTAAGCTCTTACTTAAACACTAATATATACTTTTAAATTTTAATACACATAGGGTATGTCTATTGTACTTATGTACGTACGTTATAGAGACTTTTGTATTTTTGTAGTTATAATATCTTACAATCTCAGCGTAGTGTGTCGGTACTCGGTGTAGTGTGTCGCGCAACGTAGTGACTAGTGACACTATCTGCACTCTATTCCTTTTACTCTCAAAGTCCGATGGGATGAAAACAAACAACAACTTAAATCTAGTCGTAACTCTCGTGGATATAGAATGTAGGTCACTGTAGTCTATAGAGTAGCCAGTAGAGGCGTAGATATTATCCTAATGTAGTTTCTGGTAGATGTTGTTGGACAGCGCGGCGCGATGCAATGATCACATCAATCTTTTAATTATTTATTTTATATTTCTTGCTACAGCTGTATGTATTTATGCTGAAGGTTATGTTTCAAAATGTTAAATTCTCTCTAATAATTAATTACTTTAAGAAAATCTTAGTTAAGATTAAGTTGTAATTCTAATATGAGCGCGGACATTGGAGGGTCACACGTAGGGTCGCGCAGGGTCGCGTGCGCGTTCAGTAGAAACCGCAATGAGGTCAAATCATCTGCCGACCGCACGCCGCTCGCCGCCACTTCACTGCGCTCAGTTGAGCTTAACGTTCAGCGCCAAACGACTCTACAATTATATTATTCGACCTTGTTAAGTATTAGGATAAATTGCATATGTTTATAAAGTGCCAGCAGCGAAGAATCGTGATTTATTATACCGATAATTATTATACTTTAAATCAAATTAAATCCGAGTTCAAATCAGATATAAACATAATTTATTTACGGTTATCCAACGTTCACGTATTACGATGTCTTCTGTACTGAAGAGACACGTTCACGGCGGGTTTGTGGAACTACTTCTCTATTCATAATTACGTCATTTGATAAAGCGAATGTAAAACGGATGTGCATACTATAGGTATATGTATAATGATAACGCGGCGCGTGAGTCAGCCGCGGCGCGGGGAAGCCTCTCGGCCGCGCGGAACAGTGTCAAGTTGACATAACGTGGAGTGGCTCGGGCGGCCGGGCCTTACCCGCGAGGGGAACCACGCTCGATCTATTCGGTTTTTTTATTAATAACTTGCGCGATGCTAGTGAATGATTTAACTATTCACGACATGTATGCTAACTTGATCTGGCAACTGTTTCTGTGCATTGACATGACTTAGCTTCTACCTTCTTGAAAATTTTAATGACTATCATGAATATTCAGGATATTCTAAATAACTGTATTATGTATAGATATTGCTCTGCATATCGATATTGGGTGTGAACATTCAGATATTGTCTCGAATAGCTAATTCTCAACATTCCGTCATATGACAAACTCTCAAGTCTTCGGTCGACGCCAGTTCGCGGGCGACCTACTCAAGAGCGCAGCATCCGCGTGAAGTTTTCGTATACATTTTCCTTGTCCAATCAATACGATATAGCGAGGTGTATCGCGCTCATGTTTGTATTACATAACTAATGTGAAACTTGAATACCCAGAATTATTATCATCTATAAAGCAAACTATTGACAAATAGATACAATCTACTGGCACTGTGAAATAACCAGTGTAGAATTATATTGTAGAGTTTTTGAGTTCGTATGTAGAAGGTAAGCTTTGGAACTAATTGGATCCATATGAAAAAACACTTTTACTATAGCAATATTCAGCAGATGCTACATCTGTTTGTTTTAGTGGGAATGGGTAGGTGATAAATATCTTTGCGTGAAGGCTGAAGCTACGGGCAGCGCGACATATCGCGGGAGCATTGCTTTGTCTGTGAAAATCAAGTGTTCTTTGTTAACATCCCTGTTTGATAATACATATCACAAAAGAAAACTCGTGGAAAATTTTTAAAACTCGGCCAATGAACACGGTCTCACCGTGTTCATTTGCCGAGTTTTATAAATTTAGCATCTAATGACCGTACGAATCTTTTATTTTCCACGCGACCATTATTATAAAAAGCCAAGCAATTATTTGGAACTAAATAGAGCGACGAATTGCAGCTCTAGATAAAGAATATCTCTATATAAATAATATTTTGTTAAGTTTTTTTAAATATTTGTTAAAACGTGGGCCTTTATTTAATGAGCAAAGAATAAAGCGCGGCTGCACTTGCAGCGCACGTGCGCCGCCGGGACAATGTGCCTGCATCTTGTGACATTAGTTTAGCTACTGTATCGTAGACGATATAATTATTTGTATAAATATAATTAGTAATTACTGTTAGTGTTACTTGCAAAGAGAATAAAACAATACTTTTCCTCTCTTAGATAGCGTTAATGCTAATTAAATTTATTTCACACAACAGCATTTCATAAACCTTTGTTCTTCTTTACGACATATTTTGCTCTATTGTCGGCAATATTTAATATAATTAATAATAACCAAAAATATTGTAAACAACTGCGGGCTACATCCGACAGTTAAGATGGTTAATTTCCTATTGTTTTTGGCTTTCATATTTACGGAATCGTGTCTAGTGGAAAGTTGGTGGGAAATAGTTCAAGTGAACATACAAACGGTGTTATGACTGCATTCGCGGCGGGCGGCGCGGGCGAGGGCGGCGCGGGGCGCACACGGACGTACGATCGGAGGTTAGGGGTTTGTCAAATTGCACATCAAGGAGTAATATTATGTTTGGCAATTAAAAATATTACATGAGATACGAGAAGTTCGACTTCTATCAGAATTGTATGATTATCGATAGATATGTAGGTATCGTCTCTCCCGTGACCATGTTTGATGTAAAGAATTTGAATCGTCGTGAGTCAAAATTAAAATGTTTCCGATAAAAAATCCTAAAAGATTTATATATGATATTTATCGGTTACGTCATGCTTGTCTCGAGCAGCGCGCTTGTTTGTATCTGAAGGGTTGACAGGCTCTACTTACTACTACGTCGCAGCTAGTCCGTGGATGCGTTCAGCGTGAGCCGACGATAGAACGGTAGCTTTGGTTGACTAGTTGTCATAGCTACGAGTAGAGGCCAGGCCCCAGTAAAGACACGGACAGACACCGAAAACATTATTATATTATGCGCTCTCTGTCGTCGCCGGTGGCGGCGGATGGCTCACGGCAGCTCTTACGTCAGTGGGCGACTCGCGCTGCGGCACTGCACACGCCGTCTCGCTGCGCTCTACACATCCGCACAAGTTCGCGATTATTTGGTAGAGGCGATCAGCGATCTCACTGCGATATAACTTTTCGTCTAGTGCCGTCGAAACTTGGTACATTTATATCATGCGGGAAAATGTTATGTGACCGATGACAATACGTGCACGTAATATAAGAGTACAATAGTGCTTAGTGATTTTCTTTATTATAAGTAAATGGGGCGAAGAAAACGCAGAGACTATCGTGAGTAAATTATTATTCGTTTATTAATAGCAATCAAATAAATGTTAAATATGTACCCACTGGCTACATACATACACATGTACATACTACACATACATTTTGACTAGAGGCTATTCAATATAGCCTTTTGGCTATAAGCTCAAATGATTCTAAGGAAAAATAACTGGTTTATAACAACTATAAGTTGTTTTAAAAACAACTATGTATTTAGTAATATTTTGACCATCGCGGTATTTATTTCTATAAGTATATATCTCACATGCACACATATGTATATAATTGTATATATGTACAAGCTTTCTGTAAAGATATGACGTACTATGAAAATTTTGTACGTAGTACTAAACTTTTGTCGCGGCTGCCGCGTTTTTTTGTTTAAATAATATAATAATTAACACGTAGTGTAGAGATCACTATGTCTTTACTAGAGACTCACCGTCGCTCCGCTCAGGTTCATCTCTAGTTACGTTTTAACGTTTAGTATAGATTTCTCAGAGATGAGATATTTTCCCGCAGTAAAAAGTATCCTATATGTTAATATGCAAAAATTCTAAAACTATCGTTTTTTCCTTCTGATAATAACGACTATTTCATTAAGATTTTCCAAAAAATATTTAATGTACGACTGACTTATTTTCTAACTCATTTGACTCTGTTAGAATTTTATTATACGAGTATGTACAGATAAGTGCTAAGGTTGCAGACGACGCAGCGGCCAATGGCTAGGGCAGTATTTCAAACAATGTGCACTACAGTCGCGATGTGTAATATGTCAAGGCGACGCGGCCCGGCTGAGGTTCGACTCGAAGTCGATATTTTATTTGATTTGTTTTGTAAGTGAGGCGCTATACCGGTAAGTAAGCGCTATACGAAAATGGCTTTTATGTTGCATATCTGTATTATATAAAAATAGTCTCTCAAATCTATACCCGGGGGACACGTATCGAGCATTCTTTGTTCTTTAAAAATATTTGATAAACAATCTTTTCGCGAGTAACGATGTACTCGTTATTACCCGAGTGTTCTGGCGGCGATACTATCTATATGTTGAATTATTGTTTATTCGATAGTAAATGACGTCCCTAATCTGGGTACAATAAATCCCTAACTTGGGTACAATACAACTAAAACTGTTAAGTTGTACCAGTATAGTACGCATCGATATTATTCTGCATCTACGAGTAAGTACAGTCTGAGTGATGTTGCGGCTAGGCGGCAAGGAGATGTTAATCCAACCATGTCGAATGCACTAATGACACTGTCCACGTTTCATGGACACCGAAACATTACACACTACAGTTGCATATCGCAACTTAACGTGGGTATTATATAATGTTGACGGAGAGGCTGCAGCGGGTCAGGGCCGCGGCGCGGCGCGGGTGCTCTGGACGGTTGGACCCCTTGCCCACCGTGATCCAACTTACATACAAAACACACGATGGGTTATGTTATTGATTTGCAGAATTTAAAATAAATTAAATAAGCCTAAAAAATAATAATACAAATGTAAAAATGTAGTGGGCGATAACCGCTCGAGTATCTACGAGTATAATATATAAGTTAGTTATTAATATTAATGTCGGTAATATTAATATTTATTAACTCATATTTTATGTATAAATTTGAATCCTAATCACTGTCCAAATGCGAAAACTTTCACCTGCCGAATGTCTGTCGAAGTTAAACAGTGCAGATTAAAACATTTCATATTTAAATAATAGAATATGATAGCTGCCCTGCACTGTGCTGTACAGTGCCTACCGATCTCTACGTTTGCTATTTGATAACGCTGGTTGTATATTGTACGCGTACGCGGCACCTAACTCGCTCGGATTTGACGGAGCAGCGAACTTCTCAGCGAACACGTAACAGTTAATGAAATTGAATTTATATAATGAACTTTGATAACCACTCGTCCCTCGCCACCTCCCGCCAGCTCTATATTTCGTGCGAAAGTTCCTCTTAACATCGTTAAGATACGTGAAGTTACGTGTACGGACGGTGTAGCAGTTTCTAACTTTGCATAACTAATCAAAATTCGAGTTACTACACGTGACACATACCTACCTACGACACATAACGAGTCTTAATTTATATTTAAATATTTAGTTCATAGTTAAATTTCTCTTTTAACAATTATCTCGCGGCAAGCTGGGTCGACGTGTGCCGTCGTCGGCGAGAACATTGAGGCGTTATGTCTAAAGTAAAACTACTTTCAGCGTATTTGACACTTTTCCTAGTGAGCGTCACTTCGACCGAGACTTCCGCCGGCTCCTCCTGTTCATTATAATTAAAAAGACTGGCTTTGAGGAATATTCAATTATATAGAAATATAGAGGCGACCGCTGCAGCGCGATATGTAGCTGTTAGATACAGTACACTATTACTGGTATGTACTACTTTAGAGACATATGTTTTAGCTCCGCCGACATAGATACAAATTATTTAAGAACTTTATGAGGACTGTAACGCTGTACCGCTACTGTTTAGACAGTCTTAGTAGTTCAACGTGAACAGACATAATAAAATGTGAATCAATAATCGATATAAATCAGAAGTATATGTATGTATGTACATATTCATTCACACAATAACAATACATACCTACATTTAACAATAATTCAATCGTGTTTTTAACACGTTACCTAGAATCATATAAGTTAAACTTGTCATAGAAACACACAATGGATCTGTTATAGAGACCTTTAGAATTTAAATCTAAACTTCAGCCTTACGTAAAATAATGTTTTTAACAAACAAGTTAGAAGTTAATTTATTTTAATTTGTATATTATTATAAAAAGGTCAATAGGACTACTTTATAGTTAGGTGTTATTAGTATTAGTTCCACATTTGCTCGGAAAACGATTTTTTTTCTAACATTTCAGTTCCAAACCTTATTCGAATGATCTTGTCCATACCAGGTGAGTAGTGTAAAGTTGACTGGTTGTATGTGTAAGATATTCAAGAAGAAAGTTTGGGTTGTTGCAGAATGGGGTTCGTGCGTGGGCACGTGCGCGCACGGCGGGCGCTGCGTAGCAGGCGCAGGCGGCGGCGCGTGCGCGTGCGCTGGCGCGTGGGGCGGCCCGCGCTGCCAGCACTACGTGGGCCACGATCACGCCTGCCTCGCCGCCGCCTGCCCGCCGCCCACCGTCTGCGTGTGGAGACCCTCCAGTTAGTATATGCCATCAATATCATATGCCTTCCGACTGATTTCAACCACGGCATCTAATCTCACTGAGACTAGCCAACTGCGCAAGAGATGTTACAGTGCAGCGTGTGTACGCGCAGACACGACATGCACTCCTTTATTTCTTTTGCCCTGAATGTCCGATGGGACGATGCTTCACTTTAGCTCTGCTCGTGATATTACTAAGAATGTCTTATCAGAAAAACTCTGTAATTAAACTTGGTCCGACCCGGGCTCGGACACACAACGACCGGATGTGCGGCCGTGCATGCGAGCCACTAAACTAGACTGTATCGCTATCCTCACATAATCTCCAATATTGTGTTATGTTAGGTACTGGCGACTAAATCTCGCTTAGCTCGGATGCCCCACAGACGCTAGGCGCCTTACAGAAGCTTATGTGTTACTCCAGGTTGTATCACAGTATTACTACAGGATATTTTACGCAAATTCCCCCAGACCACAGCCGGTTCAGTATGGATGAGTTATAAACGTACACACATATATACAAACTTTCGGACAGATATTATACATAACCTTCAAAAAAAATAATCTAATAGGTAATAAATAAGTATGTAAATTATGCTGTACTGGAAGGACAACTACAAGTGTGGCAAAAAGTGCGAAGTGTTTGACGCACCGTCCCGCTGGCCGGCTGGCCGGCTGGCCGGCTGGTCGGCTGATCGCTGGCCGGCTGCCGGTGACTCAGCTAGCATACTATATTGAAATGTTTTTGTACGTTAACGATGTTTGCAAATAAAAGGTTAAAACGTTTGCGACGTGACCTTTAGCTTTGCTTAATATTTTAACTTTCAATATTTGGATATTTTGAGTTATTATTACTATAATCGTCGTCGCATTGTGTTCGCTGCTGTAATGTTACTTAAATTAAAATTAATTGTCTCATAGGTCAAGGGTAGTGCCTAGCCTTTACGGATGCAGATCCATTTGACGACACTCATGGGTGTTCATATATTTTATAATATGTATGTATTTAAAGTTATATTATGTGTAGTGTATCAACTAGCTGGTATCCATAACATAAGCCTCGTAGCTTATTTACGTACGTAGTGTGTTAATGTACCAACATATTATATATTATATGTCTGGGTTTGAGTCCCGGGATGAGTCTACATAGTTTTTGGGCTTTTCTGTCTGTCAGTTCGGTGTCGGTGTTTATACCACCGTACGTTAAGAAAGTACGCGCTGCACCTGATGTCTCACCGGTCGGTTCGTCGCGTACACTTGTCGGCCACCGTAACTGACATCTGCAAGGAGCACATTATTATTATAAAGAAAAGTAACTAATGTCGTGTTTACCCACAGGTGACCCCGCGAAGGCGGGCACGCCGTACTGCGCGTGCGGCGAGGGGCTGCAGTGCGGCGCGGGGAGCGCGGGGGCGGAGGCCGGCGCGGCGGGCGCGGGCGCGGCGGCGTGGGGCGCGGGGCTGCTGGCGCTGCTGGCGCTGCTGGCCGCGCTGCTGGCCGCGCTCTACCTCGTGCACAGGAGGCGACAGTGAGTACTCACACACTACTTATCCATACAGTCGTCTAAAGTAAAGCTCCAGACCTGCCCATGCGAGGTGACGGAGATGTCGCATTACAGTTACTTGTTTCCAGATGTCACTACAGCGCTTTAACTTCCAAACCGTCTGCCATGAAATTTGGTATTTCTAAAACCCTTTTCTTTAAAATTCTACGGGTAATCACCTCCCGTATAGATTTTTCTAATATGCTACTGCACTAGTGTGGCGTCAGGCGTATGTGTGTGTGTGTGGTCGGACACGTCTCCATCTCATTCGAGTTGTCAACATTAGTAGCCACTAGCCGCTTGATTCGCGTGTCAGCCGCCCGGCGCCGGCGCGCGGGACAAGGACCGACACTTATAAACAATGAACAATTAATCAGTCACCGTCTCTCCCGCCCGCCCCCGGAGGACACTAAGCTATAATTTCTTGACTTTTTTCGACGTCGTAATTATAACGTGAAACAAGATATAATCGTTGGTATTGTTTCTATTTTTAGAAGTTTTCTTGTGCAATTGCTTACCAATCCGTTGTCAAAGTCTGCCAATATGTATTGTAATGTATGGTCACCACTCACCACTATCGCGACTAGAAGTATTTGAGTCTACTGTAATCTGTACATTTCCGTTTATGTTTATATATATGCACGTATATATGTATATATATTAAATTCTATATACTATTTGTTAAATTTTAATTTAATTAATCGTAAGTGTAGGTAAAGAGAAGAATACTTGGCGCGAACGAGAACTAGTCATTAGTTTTAATTAAACTGAAATAACAATAATATAAAGTGCAATAAAAATACATTTAATAAAATAAATAACGAAAAAAGCGTCGAGTCACAATCAAGATCTAGCTGTTCGTTCTCGCGATATTTCCTTGTGCAAACGTTTTTTGTATCTTTCAATTTCGTTGAATTGTGACGCGACGCTCGCTCATATTTTAATTAAAGTTTTTTGATAACTTTAAAGTATAATTGATGAACATTTAATGGATCACGCACATTTAATTGCTTATAAACTTTGCAACTTTATCCGTGTTTAACTGAATAAGGAAAAAAGGTTATGATTAAAGTGTATCTCAGACAGGTTGAAATTCGTGCAATCTGTATCTAGCAGATACATGTAACCCAAGCGTAGATCTAGCAGAGGGGGGGGGGGAGGTGTTAGGGGGCCCTCATGGCCCTTTTTAAGACCTATAATTTTCTAGTACATTGTTTTGATGTGTCTCTTAAGGTTTAGCCAGCGTTCGCCATGTAGATTTCTAAGGACGACTCGATAGAACTTGTTATTGTGTATTCCCGCGGGAATAAATATTTTCCTATAGTAAAAGGCATCCTCAATGTTGACCGAGTAATAAGTTATCACTACACAAAATTTGGTTATAATTAGTATTACTATTTGCGTGAAACCGCACACACAAACATACCTCCTACATATAAACAAAAATGTTGTTGTGGGTTCTATATTTTGTACCCTATACATTACTACAGTCAATGTTTTTAAAAAATACTAGCATTGCCCGCGACTCCGCCCACGTTCAGATTCTCACCCACATTCAGGCTCACCAGCTCACTCAGGTCCCTAGGACGTTTTAACGTTTAATACAGATATCTCAGAAATGAGATGTTTTCCAACAGTAAAAAGTATCTTAGAGACCCGGATAACCAGCTATCATCATACCAAATTTCATCAAAATCTATCCAGTAGTTTTCCCGTGATGCGGTAACAGATAGACAGACAGACAAAAATTCTAAAAACTATAGAATTGGGCTCTGTATCGTATATAAATTTTATTTCAATAAAATTTCCAAAAAAATATGTAATGTACAGATTCGGCTTAGTTACAATTTTATTATATGTAGACTAGCATTGCCCGCGGCTCCACCCGCATTCAGATGACAAAAAATCAAATAAAATAGCGCTATTGTAATTTTTTCAAGATAAGCTATTTTTAATAGTTTTGCCTTATTTAGTAAGTTACCTTGCTAAAATATATATAGTATCATGGTGGTTTTATTCTAACCAAATTTTGCATTTTTTCTCAGAAATGAGATATTTTTCCGCCGTATAAAGTATCCTATATGTTGATCCGGATAATTAGCTATGACCATACCAACTTTCATAAAAATCCCTCCAGTAATTTTTCTGTGATGCGGTGACAGACAGATAAAAATTCTAAAAACTATAGATTCGGACTCTGTATCGATAATAATGTCTATTTCAATAAGATTTTCCAGTAAATATTTAATGTACAGATTCGACTCAGTTAGAATTTTATTATATGTATAGATTTCAGCCTCTGATCCGCACCTGATGTAACCTCGAGATGAGTGAAGTATCATAACTGTAGTTGTACGTCTACATAAATATTGCATGTCAAATATTAAGGTTTATTTCTGTCCACAGCGGCGCGTTCGTGCACGCGCGGCTGGCGGAGGGCGGCGCGGAGGCGCTGGAGATCAGCAACCCCATGTACCTGGGGGACGACGAGCCGCCGCCCGAGCCCCACGCCCACGCCCACCGCAACCGCGCCAACACTGTACGTAGACACTATATCAAACATCTTTCGTATTCCAAAATTGTTATATTGTAGCGTTGTTGAAAAAATCCATATAACATGTGTGTATGTATGTACATTTTTTTGCAGAACGGCGGCAACCACTTCGCGAACCCGATCTACGAGAGCATGTACGCGCCGGACGCCGCGCCCGCCGAGGTAACGCGCGCGTACGGACGCCTCGCCACCACCGACATGTAGACACACACAGACACAGGCACACACCACACACGCTTGCACGAGTGCGTAAGATGAGGCAGCCGTGCTAAAATTGATTCAAAAATAAAAAAATCTATGTTAGATTTTTTATTTTTAAATTATCTTTTAGCAGTTATTTGACAACGCGTATGCTGAACACAATTTCTGGAAAAAAATATAATCAATTGTGCTTAAATGTTGGCGTTGGCTGTAAACACTAAACAGTGACTCGCACAAAACAAACGCTAGGGCTGTGTCTCCGTCAGCGCGAAGTACCCGCCGTATGCTTCAAGCTAACTAGTAAAAGTGTAGTTTGTACAAGAACATATTTCGTTAGCAACACTGACCGAGACACAGCCCCGAGCAGCACACGCACCGCGGGGCAGCGTGCGGCGCGCGGCGCAGTACAGAGCGGGCATTGCAGGAGCAGGCGTCGCTGCTGGAGGCGCCGGCGCTGTGAGAGTCGCGCGTGTAGGCGCCCGGCGAGTGCGTGCTGCGGCGCGCCGCGGCGAGGGCGGGCGGCGACTGCTCCACTAGATATACTTAGTAGTAATATTCTAATACTGATCTTTACTCGACAAGTAACTCGATCGTTCCGACGATTCGACTCTACGTTTGTACTGACTTAGAAATGGCGAGGTATCGAATCGATTTTTATGTCAATTTAATCTCGACATCCGGGCGCGCGAGGCTCCGCTGCGGATCTCCTACTCAATCACTGACGACCGTACAATGTTTTATACACGAGTATTTTTTATTGTTTTTTCTACATCGGAGCCTCGCGTCGGCGCGGGACATGTTTCTATGTACTATTTTTTCTAAATTGCTCAATGTTCAGTGCCATCCGATGTGACATGATTTTTATTGCAATGTTTTATAAAGCACTATATTATTTTATGTACTTTAATGTTTTCTAATGACTGTTGACATAACGATTTGTATTATGATTTATATGTGATTATATTGTTTATTTTAACTCATATTAATATCTACTCTTGAATTAATGAAAACATTTTTGGTCGAAGCGCCGTCGCAACGGAAATAAACTCATAAGTCATATAACACATCGCCCTCACCTCCAGCTGCAGGCCGCGCTCCGCCGCGTGCCGAGCATACATATCTGTCGTTTAATCATATTTAATATAAATATAATATAGTAAAATATATATGATAATGCTCGCGCAGTGTGCGGTGTGAGCAGACCATCCTCTCGTATTTATCTGATACATATCGTACCCATTAGAGCAGTTGTAGACGTTACAGGCCCATCGACGGTCCACTCCCGCGTAGAGCGGTCCATCGCCGCATCGCGGTGGTCGCTAGGTACGGAGTGGACCAAATCTAGCCCAATTTCGGCAATTGTCGGGCTTCATCCCAACTAGATTTATAACGGACGTAGTTTTTATAAATAATCAGTGAATCTTTGAATCAATTAGATGAAATTACACTCTTATTTATAGTTCGAAGACCAAATATCGTGTATTTGATAGTTTTCATGATCAATAATGTAAAATATACCTAAGTTTATGAACTATAAATTACTTTAGCGATATTGTAACACTAAATGTATTTTTTTTGTGTATGTAAAATTAATGCCCATATTAGTTGAAGTGTTTGAAAATGTTTAGTTTCTGTAATATAGTCTATCAGAAACGCTGGACTGTGACCGTGACTGTGGCGCGCGTCGCGGCGACCGCCTTCAACTAACATGTGTATTTATTGAAAAAATCTCATTTTCATTAGGGCTCGATTATATCAAAATGTACACCAAACAAATATCTACAAAAATTGTTTTTAAATAAAAACAAAATTTATTATTTTTCAACGAAATTTGTGGGTTGTTACATTTTGGCGTATTTTTAATGAATATGTGATGATTTTATATTACATAGTCCGACCATGCGGTCAGTGGTCGGTAAGTATAATTTATTTTTAGGTCAGTAATAAATGGCAGATTTTTTAAATATACATTTATTTAGTAATCGTGCCATATCGTTTGCTTAATTTGAAAATTTCAACGAAGACAGCAGTAGTTATATGTTCTGTTGTCGCGGCGCTGATTTTAAATCTACAAAGATAGTCAAGTCTTAACTAGAAAACCTTTTTTATAAATTATATATCATTAATATTTTTACACGTCATACGTACATATAACTACTGGTTTGTCATAACTCATAAAGCGTAACAATTTTTCCAACGTCTTCTCACGGCCAGTTTAGAGAGGGATTGGCAGCTAACGTAGGTTGTGTTTATTTTAAATTTCTTCCACTATGAGTCGACATATCGCGGCGGTCCCGGGCACGCGCTTAAAAATTCATATACAATAAAAATAACTTTCATATATAATAAAATAACTTACTAACTTAACCTTACGTTTTAATAAAATTTAATATTTTGCAGATATGTTCCATGTCTCAGACACTTTCAGATAAAAATCATATATTTATTGTATATGGATGTTTGCTTCGGGACGGTCGCTTTAAAGTTCCATTAGGAACCTCTTCTTAAGTATAAAATTGTGAGCTTATTAGTTTTGTTTGGGACGAACGGACCTACGACGAATTCTTCTATAGCTAGTGTAGAGACAAGTGTTTTAATTATAAGATAGATCAATAAAACTAATGCAATCTTATTCGATGTTTTATTTACAATTATCGACCTTTCTCTTAAAGACACTTAAGTAATAACAATATTAACTTAAGTAATAACAAAACTGAAACCAAATCAAATAAAACCTCGACAAAAGCTTCATAAAATAGTTTTATTTATAGAAACCAGAATGTTTGGTGTGTATATGACGTAGTTAAATTGTAAAAACCGTGGAATTATAACTTCTTCTTTCCTTACAATATCACGGGACAATTATAGCTATATTATAATTTAACTTAACACATTCAGTGACATTGTAATTACCCTAGTTAAATTATTATCAATAGTACCAACACTTGGATGCGGGAAGCCTCGGGCCGTTTTGATTGCTCGATTCACTGATTGGACATTTTTAAGTTTAAAATATAATGGTTATTTAATTTTTATTATGATAATATTATCAAGACACGCGTTAGCGTGTCCAGCCAAGTTCAATAATAGCGACGCAGCACCGTGTGTATATTTTACACGAACCTTTTGGAGCCACTTTTCACCTCGTAATAACTCAAAATCTATTTAACATAAACTTATGAAATTGGTTCATTTCCCCTCCCCTTAGATTAACTAGAATCCTAAATACAGCTCAAACGGTTATTGAGATATTAACGTCTAAAAATCGGCATTTTTATCACTGTCTAACTGACATATAGTCTACGAATAAATAATAAGTCTATAATTATATTAATAACTAACGACTCGCCCTCGCTTCGTTCGGGTTCGTCCCTAGCTTGCTTCACCATACAAATTTTAATCCCCATTTTCACCCCTTAAGGGATAATTTCTGGTATAAAAAGTATCGTATGTCCTACCCAGGGTCTCAAACTATCTTCTTACCAAATTTCATCTAAATCGGTTCAGTAGATCTAGAGATTACCTCCTACAACATCAACAACTAAATTTAAAACACAATTTATTGTTTTTTCTGCTACTAAAATGTTTGCTATTTAAAATAGAACTTCTTAAATTTGAATAGTCGAATTATTTAGACAGAATAGATAAAAAGTTGAAGATTTGACTTGGCTAGTTTTTACATATAATTTATCTTATATTCGGCTAATATATATATATATATATATATATATATATATATATATATATATATATATATATATATATATATATATATATATATAAATAATAATTATAATAATAATAATTATAATAATAATTGTAACCAAGCCGAATCTGTACATCAATTATTTTTTGGAAAATCTTATTGAAATAAACATTATTATCGATACATAGGCCAAACCTATAGTTTTTAAAATTTATATCTGTTTGTCTGTTACCGTATCACAGAAAAACCACTGGAGGGATTTTGATGAAATTTGGTATGGTGATAGCTGGTTATCCGGGTCAACATATAGGATACGTTTTACTGCGGAAAAATGTCTCATTTCTGAGAAAAAATACAAAAACTGCAATGTAAGAGTATAATAATATGTAAAACCTAAGAATTTGGTTTTCGGTCATCTGAACGCGGGCGGCAATGCTACTCTATTATACATATTTTCTTTATACTATACGCAAATTACTGTTTTTATATTATAAGGTCAACATGTCTCACTCTTCTAAAAACTTGCTAAAAACTAGCCAAGTCAAATCTTGAACTTCAATTTATCCTAAGTTATACTTGCTAATGAACATACGAATAATGGTCAAGTGATAAATAAATAATAATATAACATTTCTATTTCTTTATTTTACAAAGTCTATGGTTTATGCTGAGCATCAAAAAAAAAAAGTATTTAAATCTGACCAATCAGGGACCGTTTTACAATTTAACGATATTTATCATTTAGTGAAATTGTCAAAATCTCATTGATTTGCAATATCACTGAATGTACTCTAAATGAAATGATAATTTGACGGTATTTATAATTTCCCTGCGACATATATAGTGAGTGTGTCAGTAGAACTCGTCGTCGTCGTGCGCGGGCCGCGCGGGCGCGCAATTGCGCACCTGGTCCTGCGCGCGGTACAGCGCCGCCAGCTGCCGCGCGCTCGTCGCCTGCTCCGGCGTCTTGTCCTCGCGCACGCGCACGAACCTGCACACAATGTGCATGTGTCAGTTCGCCGAACACGTTATCTTTAATCATGATCTAAGTAATTTTCTGGAGAACATTAAAAAAGTATACTTCCATAAATACATTCAAATAGTTGTTATCACTCTTCAGTTACTAGACGGCAAGTATACTGTAAGTACAATATATAAATAAATATATGGCAGACATGCAGATTTCCTCACGATGTAATCATGTTGGAAATGATTCGCGCATGAAAATATCAGAGGTGCGAGACCCGGGATTTAAACTCGCTTCACTCGGTTTCTCAAGCTAGCGCGCTACCACTGCCGAACACTGAAATACACTGACGAAGTGTTGGGTTAGCTGTATTTTTTTTTTTGTTAAATTGTAACATCGTTAAGTGGGTCACGTGTCACACGTGCCTCGGGAAGCGCAGCGACACGCCGCGCGCGGGCGCGAGCAGGCCGGCGGCGGCGCGGTGCGCGGGCGACAGCGACAGGTCGGCGCAGCGCAGCTCCCACACGCGCGCCGCGCGGAACCACACGTCGGCCGCGTGCGACGCGTCGTACCTGACACAGGAGCACAATGTTACACTGTACAGAGATGAGCTAAACTCAAAGCTACAAAGTTAATTTAAATAATTCTCAACGTCGGCATGAATTTCAGTAATATGAGAAAAAGTGTCCATGATAGTTAAATTATATTAAATTTCAAGATCCCCGATCGTAAACATCCGGTACCTCCTATACGATGTCGATTCTAAGTAAGATGATGATAGTGATGATGAAGTGTACGAACATATAGTAGTTGGGCGGCGCGTCGATGCGCAGCGCGTCGAGGTCGGCGGCGAGCGCGCGCAGGGCGTCGTCGGAGAAGCCGGTGCCGAGCTTGCAGAGCGACTGGAAGGCGTCGGCGTCGGCGTCGTAGCAGGCCAGCAGGAATCCGCCGTAGCCACCGGCGCGCCGCCCGCGCCCGCGGTACGCGCCCACCACCACCGCGTCGATAGTGTCGCCCACGCCCTCCAGGTAGTCCTTCTTCAGCTGCACCGCGACAGACAGACAAACAGACCACATCACATCTAATTATTATGATCATATAATAAATTATTTGTAAACATTATGCGTTATTTTTATTTTTACCATAGCATTAATAGATAGCATAATACGAAACTAAAAATGTGCTTAACCACCACAACGGTGAAGGTATGGCTTATCGTATTAAAAAAATGCTCGTGTTCAGCGGTGAGATATTAAGTAAGCGAGATAATCAACTCCTACGATGTGGACCAAGACCGCACAATATCATGTAGCTTGTGTCGACACGAGACTACATGTGTACCTTGAGCCAGTTGTGCGAGCGGCGCGCGATGTCGTAGCGCGCGTTGTCGCCGCGCAGCGCCTTCACCATGAGCCCCTCGCAGGAGGCGGCCACGGCCTCGTGCAGGAAGGCCTGCACCTCCTCCTCGTCGGCGCAGTCCCGCGACACCGCGAACTGCCACTCGCCTGCGCACACACGTCACACACGACCACATCCAAATAGGTTATACAAAACAAAAAATAAACGAAAATCGATTAATAAAAATCCTATACGAATGAATAAAATCAAAGTGTCTGTAATGTTTAGTATTAATATTAGTAACAACTTTTTACTAAATGCATATGAAAGCATACACAGTACAAAAAAAAACATTTTAGTTAGTAGTAATAGCTTTTATTTAATTATTAATATTCATCCCACAGAAATAAATATTCATTCTTATAAGTAATATTTGTTTTTTACCAAGTTTAAAAGTTATTTTACATTTTATTTAACACTAGCGGCTCACGTTCGCTTCGCTCGGGTTTCGTCTCCAGACAAACAAATACAAACCGTACATTTTTCCGGGTTAAAAAGTTGCCTATTTGTTATTGTGATGTATGAACTATATTATTGTAAAGTTTCATTAAAATCCAATCAGTATTTTTTGTGTACTAAGCTGTATAAGTTAGTTTAATTTTTCGGGATGAAAAGTAAAGACACCAACCCTCGACCTCGTTGAAGTTCTCCCGCAGCAGCTCCCGACGGCGCGCGAGGGGCTCGCGCACGAGCGGCTCGCCGTTGAGGTAGAGCAGGTCGAACACGAACACGCACACCTGCACTTTGATTTGGTCCTCCGCCGCGTCCTTGCGCTTGCGCGTCGACAGCACCTGCACACACACGCACACACACACACACATACATACACGTCACACTGTACGCACGACATAGTGTTGGAGGTTTTTTTTCCTAAATTTACCAGAGATTCCTTGATATTTTATTTTATTTTAATTAAGCTCTCCAACAAAAGATACACACAATATACAACATCATATAAAAACAAAAAGCAAATAAGACTCATGACACATGTGCTCCTTCACTTGTAGGAGACCACAGCTTGCTCGTTATTGTATTATAAGTTATAACTAAGTTTAAAGTAAGAAAAAATTAACGTAGATACATTTCTAGAAACAAATCTGAAACTATTTATAGAGATACAAAAAAAGAAACAAATCATATTACAACACATTTAAACATTTATACTAAAGTTGCGATAAGAATTTAGTAAGACTACTTTTAAATTCAAACATATTAGTGGAAAGATATCTAATTCGACATGTCGTTTAGAAAGCGTATTGTATGTATGAATATGAATGGCTAAATTGGGCAAAATTAATAAGAAAAATTTAAGCAAAATACGAATAGTACATACATTGTTGCATCTCTTTTGATATTTAGTCCAATTACAACAGAAAAGTAAACGACGTCAATGTGCGGTAGAAATGTTAGATGAAAGTCACAGAATATACAGTTTTGGACAGCGGCAATGTGTATTAAGAATGAGAGAGTGACCTGGAAGGGCAGTATCTGCTTGGCGGCGGTGTCATAGGCGACGGCCTCGCAGTCCAGCACGCAGCTGCGCACGCCGCCCCGCAGCAGCGCCGGCAGCCGCCGCAGCACGTCCGGGTACTTGCTGCACGGTTCGGTTCACTTGTGACTCATCACATTACGTACAGGAAGGATTCCCGCGGGATTCACATTTTATAAATATTTTCTATAAAATTATATATAAAATGGAGTGTAACCCTTGCTTGGGTGCGTTTTTATTTCCTAGATGCCTAACAATATTTCTTTTCCTAATCCTATTATTGTTATTAATATTATAAATGTGAAAGTTTAGATGGATGGAGATGTTTGTTACTCAATCACACCAGAACGGCTGAACGAATCTGGATGAAATTTGGCACAAAGATAGATTATAGTCTGGAATAGCAGATAGGACTCCACACTTATGTGCCGGAGATATAGAGAGAAGCGAGGGTGGGTCGCTAGTAAAGAGTACAATTCACCAGTGTAGTGGGCGCACCTGGTGTTGTTCTCCTGGTTGCGGCTGAAGATGGCGGCCTGCTGCAGCAGCGGCGCGGCGTCGCCGGGCACGTGTATCTGCGCGCGCTCGCCGTCGTACTTCCACTCGCACGTGAACTCCTCGTTCTCGAACCTGCGCGCACGCCGCAGTGTCATATAGCATTCACATTTTAAATGCGATATTATTCATTAGTTATAGTGTTATAGTGTAAAATTTTAAAAACTTTCGTATGAGCAATATTATTAAAATTCGTAAAATTATTTTAATATTTGATCAATATGTAGTTAAAATAATGTTTTTAATAAACTTAAGTAATATGTTGATCACTTTACTATCATCGAGGACAACATAATAATAAAACATATACATACATTACATATAAACAAATTAAATAAATCTTGTTTTTACAACTACTGTTAGATGACGCTGCAAGTAGGCAAGTACACACGCAGCGCCATCTATGATTGCCCAGTGCACGCATAATGATAAAATAAATCTATACAGATAATAAAATTGTAACTAAGCCGAATCTGTACATTAGATATTTTTTGGAAAAACTTATTGAAATAAATATTATTACCGATACAGAGGCCAAATCTATAGTTTTTAGAATTTTTGTCTGTCTGCCTGTTACCGCATCACAGAAAAAATACTGGAGGGATTTTGATGAAATATAGTATGGTGATAGCTGGTTATCCGGTCAACATATAGGATACTTTTTATCTCATTTTTGAGAAAAAACACAAAAATTGTAATGAAAAGTACACTAATATGTAAAACCTAAGGATATGGTTTTTGGTCATCTGAACGCGGGCGGAGCCGCGGGCAGTACTAGTATAGTAATAATACCCTCCTAACTGATTTCGACTACAGAAGCTAACCTCACTGATACGAGCCACTGCGCATGAGATATCATAGTGTATAAAGTATGCGCGCACACTCAACGTGCATTCGCGGGCGTGACGCCGCCAAATCCTAAACTTGACCCGATCGAAACTCGAATTCGATTCTTTCGGATCTAGTCGTACATGGTAGCTAGACCACGGAAGCAGTTAAAGGAACATCTATACTAATATTATAAAGAGGTAATAATAAGAGTAAGAACTTTGTGATTTTGTGAGTTTGTGACGTTGTATGGGGTAATCTCTGGATCTACTGAACCGATTTAGATAAAATTTGGTAAGAAGATAGTCGGAGACCCTTGGAAGGACATAGGTTATTTTTTTTATCAAGGTGTGAAAATGGAGATGAAAGTTTGTATCGGGAAGCAAGGTAATATATAAAGTGGCCAGTGACCGGTTGAAGAGCTCGTGCACGCCCTTGGTGGGGTGCGCCAGCATGGGCTTGAGCGGGCGGCCGGGCCGCAGGCGGCAGTGCGCGGGCAGCGCGCGCGCACCGTGCCGCAGCAGCGCCGCCGTCAGCGCCGCGTAGTCGGGGCACTCGCAGTACGTCGTCTTCACGATCGCCGTGTACTCCTCCACGAGCGCCTGCCGCCGGGGAACGACATATTTTATAAGCTCGTAAATTCATAGTTATATAAGTAGTACGATGGTTTTGTTCAAAATTTCATGGGTTTTAATTTTGTGGGTGGATTCCTAATTCTTTTCTAAAATAAGTGACCTCATGACATCAAAGTCCCGTCGAAATCGAGCCAGCTGTGTCGGAGATTAGCCAGAACGAGCAAACAGACAATTTTTTTTTCTTTATATATGCATTTAGTAAAAAGCTGTTATTTTAACATTACAAATGGACACTTTAATTTACCTATGTATTTGTATAGATGATGGGGTCGAATATGGGTAATGAGGGGGGAGGGAGGAGGAATGGGGAGAGTGGGAAGGAGAAGGGCGGGAGGGTGGATGTGGTAAAGAGCGGGGGGGGAATGGTAGATCGTGCCTGTACCTTAAACTTGTCCGCGCTCATGGTGGCGGCCACGTCCAGCTCGCCGGTCTCGGGCGGCGTGGCGGCGGCGGCGCGCGCCAGCGCCTGCAGCGCGGACTGCTCCGCCAGCCCGATGCGCAGCTTGCCTTCCAGCGACCTGACACACACACACATAATAAATTCGTTGGCTCACTATTACAAGGTTCTATGTTACAATTTTAGTACTTATTTAGTTATGAATGCTACAAGGTTCTATGTGTCATTAGCTACAGTTTTTGCAGTTTGCAAAAACAAACCACTAGATAGCGGCACTATAACTACAAAATATTCAATTTTACATAGTTCTATGTTGTTTTTTTACGATAACAAAATCTATGTAAAAATTACTAAACTTCATTAAAATTAACATAGAACCTTGTAATAGTGAGCCCACGTGTAATTGTATACATATGTATATATATATATATATATATATATCTATATTATATATATATATATATATATATATATATATATATATATGTATATATATCTATGCCATAAAACTGAATCGCTAAATGTGTTGCTAAACGCAAAACTCGAGAACAACTGGACAAATCCGGCAATTTCTTTTTATTTATTATATTCAAATCAATATCAATTATACGAGGTAGGTTCTTATGAAAAGAAAAAATTAAAAAAAAATGCCTGCAAAAACGTAAAAACACCGTTTTTCTAATTCGGTCTGCAACTATGTCACTGAACTCCTCTTAAGGCTAGGCCACTAGAACGATTTTGATAAATAATTTTGTGTTTGAGTCCTTGAATAGTTCATATTGAATTGGATAGAACTAGACCGTGCGATCCCGACAGACGTTATCCTGTTGTTAAATATGTACATATATAAAAATCTTCTGAACACATGTATGTCACTAAAGTCCTCTTAAAACGAAAAGCCAACTTTCGGGCAGGAGAACGTTTGTTGGATTTTATTAGATTGCTTGTACACATGTAATATTATATACAGGTAAACTTTGTAGGTTTGTATGTAAGGGTAATCTCTGAAACTACTCATCTCATTGTGAAAATTCTTTCATCTATAGAATGCTACATTATCGCTCATTGCTATAGTCTACTCTTTGTTTGGATAAATATATGTTTTATGTCAAAATAAATAATAACTTTAATTGAAATCGGAATAAATTGATCTCAGCTATATCGACAAAAAAGGATAGGGATGGATTTGAACGAAGCGATGGTAGGATGCAAGTATCACATAAATAAATTTTAATTCACTAGAGCTAAAAAAATATTGCCCGATTGTGGCTAATTAGTTATGAAGACTTTAAAAATGTTAGTTAAAGCATGTTAATATTGAATTTTTTTATAGAAAGAATATTTATGTTATAAAAAAAAAACAAAGTATAAGTTACCTAATTAAATACCGCGCTTCCGAGTGTCTGCAGGCGACGTACAAGGATTGTATTTTTGCAATTTTTTTATTCACCGACGCGTGTCCTGCGGATCATACAAGTGTAAGTTAAAATAGGTAATTAAAAAAATGGCAACAACCATTAACTTGAACAAAAAAATATTATATAATAAAGTCATTTTCTAATATTTATATTAATTTTTAAGATCTATCCAAAAATATCGCAGATAAGAATGTAGCCCATAGGTAACCAAGTAAGTGTGGGCTCAATTTTATATATCTTGCAGCAATTTATTTTTCATGGTCCTTTTTGGTGGGTAATACTGGCTTTTCTCAACCACCTGTAATCGGTCGTATGCAGGTGGTATGCGTAAAAGCATTTCCCAAGATTAAAAACAAAGGAGAGTGCTATCCTCGTCGGCCGAACACTAATACAAAACGAGCAAGTGCGTGATGTACCGGTCATGGAGGCGATGTCCTTGAGCGCGGCGAACACCTTGCGCAGCACGAGCGGCGGCGCCGCGAACATAGTGCGCTGCGCGCCGCGCGCCGCCTGTGCCAGCGCGCCCAGGTCGCCGGCGCGCGCCGCCGCTGCGCGCGCCTGCGCCGGCGAGCGCCCCGTGCAGCGCCCGATCGCCTTCAGCAGGTACGTCTCCGCGATGCCTGCGTGCACACAGCCGTGGATTTACACTAGGAGCACTGGGAGCTAGTGCCCGGGGCGGCTAAATTCGAAGGATAAATAAAAAAAATCTTCGCGCTATCGAAAATGTATTTTCTACTTTCCAGAAAATGAATAGTTAAAAAAATTAACTATTTTTGCATTTATCAAAAATTAAAAAATGAACTTTATCGAAACTTTATTCATTGTATGCAAACATTTTTACATTGCCCGAGGGCGGCGCTGAGGTTGAACCCGGCACTGCATACACACACACACACACACATAGAATAAAGTAACACTATAACCTCACAGGTTGCCTAGAAATCACTGTTTTAGCGACAAGCTATTTTGTTTATTTCTTCTTTTTCACATAAAAATGTGTACTATAAAAAGTTTCTATTCTATTTAATTTATTTGTGACACACTTTGCTACAAACAGGACGATAAAAATAAAGCCATAGTAGAACGCCTGGCGAATATGACACATCGAAATTATTTTGTATAGGAAATATGCTTGTAAGGATAGTTCATTAAAGGAAATAAATTAATCAGATACAAAATATTGAGATTTTTCTAAAAGAGAAAATATTCTTTATTTAAATTACAAAAGCGTAGCCAACAGTAGGTTTTTAATAATAGATTCTCTAGAACATATTGATTTCATCCAAACCCATCTAACCGTTTCACCGTGAATAAGCACGCACACACACGCACAAGCACACACCCACACACACACGTGCGCACACGTACAAATGCATACAAATATGTACAATAATTAAATTAATTACATTCTTTTAGGAATATTTACGACTTTAATAATTTAAATTAAAAACTATTTAGGTTATGAACTCAGAGATAGATATAAAATAAGCTCACCCAACTCCAAGCAATCATAAGCCGGCCCCAACTGATTCAAACACAAGTAAATACTGGGCAAGAGGTCCTCGGGGGTCAGAGCTATGACCGACCGAAAATAGTTGCTCAATATTTCAACCATCTTCAACCGCGCAGATGTTGCTTCTATGATTTCTAGGGTTTTGGCTAGAGCTAAGTATGGGACAGGTTGGCCTTTAACCCAACATGCATCTTTGATTGGGTGATATTTTGACTTCCCAGGATTGTAATCCACTTCTGTAAACATTATTATATTATAATATATATTACTCTAAGCACTGTACCTAAGAGTATTTTAAAATGTAAAGATAACTCATCATAATCGATGGCTCCAATTGCTGAACATTCTCCTTCATTTCATACTAGGGAGTCACCCTGCTTCGCATAGGTTTGTCCAAAGGTACATTTTAACGGTTAGAATGAAATACAAATCTTTGAATTTCTCAACTATTCTGTACTACAATATGCATGTATTATACATATAAAAATTCCTCTTGTATCATTCTATCTATTGCTGAAAACTGCATTAAAATTCGTTAAGTAGTTTAAAAGATCTAAGTGAACAGAAAGCAGAAGCGACTTCATTAATTTATACTATGTAAAGATATCACACTCTAAGAATAATCAACCTCTTACCAGGAACTATATCCTGTTTATCCTCTTTCTCAATATTTTTATCTTCTTTTTTATCATTCTCTATCTCCACCTTTCCGCTATCACCATTAGTTGATTTTTTATCATTATCATTTTTTTCAACTTTTATAGTAAATTTACTTAAGGGGCTCCTTTTTACTTCTTTCTCTAGAGTTTTTTCAGATTTTGGTGAAGATTTTTCTACTTTTATTTTCTTTTCTGAAGATTCTTTTTTGGTAGCTTTAGATTTTTTACTTTTTGGTGAATCATATGTTTTTGCAACTACACTTTTTTCCAGCTTAATTTCTTTTTCATCTGAACTGGATTTTGATGGTGATTCAGATTCACTTTCTGAGCTTTCTATGCGCTGACGTTTTGCTTTTTTCTTTGGAAAAACAGTTAAAAATATTATAATTAAAATTAATTTTATTACAAATAAAATTATTAAGATATTTTCATAGATTCATTTTGATTTTCGGTTAATATTCACATATATGTAAGAAAGTAATATTTTTGTAATCCAGAAATAGCTCTTTTATCTCTTATAGTTAATTATATAAATATAGGTAGTTGAAGAAATATTTTAATTTTTTTGTATTGAATTACATTTTTATTGAAATTTATTATTTTAAAGCTATTTCAGCTTATAATGATTGATTTCATAAATTACAAAAAAAAATCATTACTTTTATTTTCTGTGCACTTCCTAAATGCAAAACTTGGAAATAGGTTTAATAAAAATGTGATGCTAAAAAATGTATATGAAATTGAATAAATTTCTTATTGTGACTTATTGGAAAAGTGTAAAAACAATGATATTGTTATTATTACCTTTATATTTACATTTTCTGGAGTAACTGGAGAGTTGCTACCTGATTCTGGTGAGTTATTTTCCTTGCTGATTGATCGTGATCTTTTTAATCTCTAGAAAAAAATTTATAGGAAGATTAACAAATACAGGTAAATTTCTAAGAAATGAATTAAATTGCTAAAAAATCTATTCTTAACTATAACACCAGTGTGTCCGTGGTCATTAAGGGACTAATAGCTATCATTCAATTGTAATTTGTAAAAAAAAGATAAATTTAAAAACACAAAAAAAAAATACCTTGGCATCCCCATTTTCCATAGAGTCATTGTTCTTCTTTGTACTGGGTGATATATCCTGTAATTTAATATTAATACTATATTAATATCATAAATACTATTAATGATAAATGTGCAAGTTGAGGGGAAAGTATAGGAAGGTAAGGCAAAACAAGGTTTGATCACTATGAACAGAAAAGTTCTAACATATTTCACACCAAAGTTTTCATGCAATAACATTTTTAGGTAAAAGTGTTTGTGTCCAAATTAAAAACTTTTAATGGAAGAGAAATTGAAACTGTATAATTGAAAAATTTATTATTTAACGAACAAACTACTGGCTATTCGCTTATAAATAAATAATTTAAATTGTTGTTAGAAGAATCCATGGTAATGTATTTAAATATTCATATTTTAAGTAACCATCTATGTTTTTCTGAAATGTAACATAATTTCTTAATGAAAAAGATATACAGAGACATTCACGGCTTTTAAAATTTTCTATAAACATTGAGATTTAATGATTAAACTTACATTCTTATCACTCTCTTCAGTAGCTGTCTTTTTTGGTGTTATTTTAAAAAATGATGTAATATTTCTCTGAGACATATTTTTAAGATTCAGACCCACATTAGTAGAAGTTAATGTTAAAGAGTTAAAGGAAAAACGTGCTATACATGTATTTTTTATAAGAGACCGGTTAGTTGTTGATACCACTAATCTACACACATTATGAAATAGTATAGTAGTATGCATAAAAACTTTTTATATTTTTACAATTATTTATTTTTAGCTTTACACTTTCTAAAGGTTTATAAATTAAAAATATTGTTTACAATTTCACAATCGACATAGTTTTCAATTTTTGACATTTAATATTTTTGGCGCGAATGGCAGGTGCCAGACGGATAGATTACGGTAATTTTTCACAGATTAAATGCTTTGTCAGGGTATCTTTACGAAAGAAAGACCTTTATTTTATATTTTCATGTTCTTTTTTCATAAAACGATGTAGGTATTTTAAATGTATTTGAATTCATTTGTTTCTTATCAACTACCAGCCTGAGACGAAATTTGCGATTTTAGTTATTAAAGTAGAATATAATATCTTAAAAAATACTTCCTTAGTCTTCAAATAAATAAAATAATTGAGTGTTTTTTTATATTCTATGTGTAAAACTTTTGGAAGATCTTTACTTCGTTCAAAATAAAAGTACTGAACAAAAGTCTAGAATGTGTCTCCGACATATTGTTCAAAGATGGCGCCCTCTAGTAAATGAACTGTCAACTATCCGCGTGTCGTCCATGTTCCGAATGTGGTGTGACTTATTTTTGTTTTGTATTAATTTTCAGTATAGTAATTATAAATGTGAAATGATACAAAATGTGTTATCCCATATAGTGGAACCTTGCTTTGGCTGAATGGATCCCTACGTAGGGTGGTATCAGCCCGAGCAGGAAGGACCCGCGAAGCGCTTGTGGCTTCGTATCTGGGAAACTCAAAGTGAAACAGACAAAATGAACCTTAAAAATTTAGAGAACGCTAATCCCAATGTGAATAAAGCGCAAGACTTTATACCATTGAATGAAGTGAACGGTGAAAATAGGAATAATAATTACTTCAATCCAACGCGAAGGAAAGCGAACGATAACCGCGCATCTACATTTAACCTGAACCAAAACCACGATGCTCTTATAGGTGAATACGGCGGTTGTCCGTGGCGAATTCCTAACTACGTGTACAAGCCTGGAGTATTAGGGTAAGTGTTATTTTTTCCTGCATTTAGTGTGCTATCAGTGCATTTGACGTGCTCATAGGACTCGAGGTGTGACGGTCTTCTGTCTAGCCTCTTTTAGGGTTGACAGCGCGGGCCGGTGAGCACAAGGCAGGTATTCCTAGTAGCGGGCATTCGGTGATTAGAAAAAAAGGTTAATTTTAAAGAAGTTGGACTTATTTTGATTTATATAATATGATATTAATTGTTAAAAAATGCACAGAAAATCTGAAATGTTCCACTAAACCCCTTAGTTAAATTATCACAATATAAATACTCCATTAATTTTAATAAATGTTAATAAGTTTATATTAATATATATTTTAATGTTCATATATTATAACCTCTTTAAAAATTCACTTTGTTATAATAATGTGATACCTAAGGCCAAAAATGCATTATGGTCTTCATTTATCACATATTTTTCAAAGAGATCTAATTATTACCTACTATATTTATTCCTCATTCCTTTGTATATAAAAAATAATGAGTAACTAAAATGAAGGTAGTAATAATTAAAATAATAATTACACTTGTTAGGCAACTTATAACAAAGTTGTATGTAAAATTTAAATTTGAATAAATTTAAAATAAAATGTTACGTTACTAATATTTTCAAGAAATGGTAAAATAATAACAAGACTTATCAACAAAAGTCCTTCTTATTAAACTACTTACTTTATATTGATCATAGTTACACATTTAATGCCAATTTGAGTTTTCTAGTGTATCATTTTTAACTTATTACTTTAATACTTAAATAAAATTAAAATTAATTTGTATCCTGAGTAGGATGCCCAAAGTGAATCTTTTTATCAAAGATGTTGATATTCCATTCACATTCATTGAAAAATGTAAACACATTAACATTGTTTAATACCTTTTGTTTCCTGTTTATTATTTAATCAATGCAATTAGTTCATTGAGTTGTGTCATAAAAACTTAATTATGTTATAAGTAGATAATTGTGTTATCAGTTTGTATGTTTAATATTTTATCTATACATAATAGTTTCGTTAAGCTAATATTATAACATATATTGATAATATCAATCTTTGTATCACCATTATGTTTATATCATACTTAAAATATTTTTTTATTGATTTTTTTTTGTTTCATTAATAAGGTAGTAATAAATATAATAATGTTGATAAATTTTCAACATATAATTTTTCAAATAATTATTTTTGTTATTATATACTTAAATAAATAATTGCTATTATTTCTATAATCTGTGAGGAAATGAAATTTTTTTTGGATGATAAATTACTTAATGAATTGATAATTAATTAATCTATATATTTACATGAATATCTGTTCTTTATGTGGCAAATATGTATTGTGATATTGAACATGATATAAAAGTTTAGGCATATTACTTAACATTTGTTGAGGAAATTAAATTATATTACATAACATAATTAAGTTCATTTTACATTAAAAGTTTATAATCAACTTGTGTTGTTAACTGTACCATCAGTTATTGCACATTTTATCATGACATAAAATGAGAACAAATTTTAATCTTTTTACCTTTTCGAGTAGATGAAATTGAGAAGAAATTGTTTAATGCACATTTTTACATATATATGTAATTATTCAAACATCAGGTTTTAAAAAAAGATATTTGTAATAAATACTAGATAAATTCAGTAATTTTGATATATATCTGGATAATTGTCAAAAATTGATAATATAATATACATCATCACCTTTAGAATAATTTAAAAAGTAATAATTATCTGAAAGAGATTTTTTAAAAGAAAAAAAGTTAGAATTTAAACATCTAGATATTGTTATTAAAGTTTGATTCCATATTAAGAGCAAAATTGGTCATTATGGTCAAACCTTGATGCCATACTGGTCAATAACCTTTACAGGGATGTCTCCCAGTAAAATTACAGATTTTCCTTCCACTCATTTTTCTATCATTATTTAAAGCTTATAGGGAAATGCTACAAAAGCTGCACAAAAAATATTGTTGATGTAAACCATTGTGACCATAAAGAAGAAATATTATAGTGTCCTATCAGGCCTTGTGTGATGATGGATATTCTCCGCAGAAATCGTCCTGGTTCTGAAGTTGCTGGTAATGCAGTAAAGTTGAATGTTAGAAGTTAGAACACACCTAGTTAAATTATATGAGCTTGTTGTAACATATGCGATTCTTTAAAACATTTGTTTGATTACAATGAAATGTAAATGCTACTCGCACTTGCAAAGGTTTTTGACATAGTATCGTCATCGGCATACGGTAGGTGATGCGTAAACTAATTTGATATATTTTTTGAAAATTTAGTGCACAAATAGACGACGCCTTCAAATAATAAAGTCCAAATAGTTTAAATAAATATCCACCGACTGGCACTCAGCAGAACTAGTTTTTAAACGTTTTTTATGTATACTAATGGATATTTCAGTTTGTCGTACTGCGTCGGAAACCTCGGTTTGATTTACTATTATGTGAAAAATGAGAACATAGTGTGTTCATAATGATTGAGATAAATCACATGACGCGGTCGTAGAGTTGCTCAAGTGCCGGTGCCGGGGATGCCCCTCGCGCAGACCGGGGCCCAGACGTTATTATGCATACGGCGACTGTAATTGAATCATATTCGCTTTGTTCTGCTGAATTAATGCTCCTTCTGTGGAAAATATGTCAAAAAGGGTCTATGGAAATGCTATTCTGTTTAATCCTACAGTTCGAAGCTTCATCTCATACTCATTATGATGGCTTACTGCCGATATGAGGAGTAGATATCTATAATTTTTTAGTATAACTGATATATTTTTATCTGAATGGGAATCTAATAGGAAATCTATTACAGTACGTACGTAGTTTTAAAGCGAAGAGGTAGTTGTTAATGCCATGCTTTTTAGGATAACTATAATATGCGTAATTAAATCTATTCAAACGTAACTTCCCTATTTAAAAACTCCAATAGGATCCCATCAAGAGTGACAAAAGCCACATAAAAACCAATAAATATTTATTGGTTCCTATGTGGCTTTTGTCGCTTTTGGTGGGATTCTATTGGAGTTTTTCAACAGGGTTATAGTCATTCAAAAGATCTGAAAATTAAAATATGTCAAGTAATATTTACACATTGAAGTTGATATTTGAGTCTAAATATTATTATATAAATTGACTACACAATACTATTGATTTGAATGATTTGTGTGTAACAATGTCTGATGTGATGTAAAACATGGATGATATTACGGCACTGTTACAAGCACCATGGTCGCAGGACCACGCAGGTACGTACGTACGGCAACGTAAAAATATTGTTAATAACCATGAAAGCGTGAAAGACAAGTTATGCCCCGTGACCATGGATGCTGTAAAGCATTCGAAACGTCGGGAACCAAAAATCAAAATAAATTCGCGAAAAAATCCGAAAAGATAGTTTTATTTAAAATGGAACTTGTAAGTTGGGCAGCCTTTAGCGATATGAAGGCGACTTATTGCAATAACACAAAGGAACAATCATTTTAAAATTTAGTTTTAGGCTCGACTTAAGTCGAACCGATAGTAATGAAATAAAGAATTGTATAACGAACACGCATGACGGCTTCGTGGTAGAGAGCAAAGCAGGCCAAGAGTCTCAGTTGGGAATTAATAATTTATTCAGTTGACCTATTTTTAAGGAAAATGTGACCAAATGTGCGTCGGCTGCCGCCCTCCGATGCAAGCACTATTGGCCAATTTTCATTAAATTAATTATTCTTTGACATATCTGTGTAGAACAGACGATTTTTTTAAACATTACAATAAATGGAGATTGGAAAAAAATAAATGAAAATGACTGTACGATAACCATAAATTATAATCGAAAAATACATAATAAAACATGGTTAAAATTATGGTAGTAAGTGATTTCAAAGTGGAATGTGTTACATATAGGAGTGTACGAAGTGCCAGCCTCATTTCTGCCCACAGTTAATTTTCTTGCTCTAGTTGCTTTATTAAATTGAGTCTTTTACTTGTTGAGACGCAGTGTGAATGTGCCGCGGACGACCTTGCGAGTCACTGCCCTCTAACGCCGGCCGATCGTAGTTACGCAACATATTATAAACATATCGCAAATATTTCACTTCCGAGTGAAAGTAGTCGTAAATGGTCGTGGAGATGCTTATTTCATTAATAAATATCGAAAAAAAATATTCTTTTTCTAAGGATCTTTACAGATGCTTATAAGAAATAATTAGGCTATTTGGTATATTTCATATTGTAATTAAATATCGAAAAAAAGAGATCAGTTCAACATGGAACGTTTTATTGCCCTAAATGTTAATGGACCAGCCCCTATATAGACAATTTGTAAGTATTTCATAAGAAAATATGATTTACTTGACACAAATTCGTCATGAACTGCTCTCAAGGTGACCGAATCATGTCAGCGTCTGTTGTTAATTCATGACTCACTATTATAGAACAAGTACATTTTTCATTTAATGTCAATCATACGTACTGAAATTGTGTAAACTGATATAGGTATTTTTAACAATAACGGATTTCAAAGTGAAATGTTTTTAGTTGTCGAGTACGCATTAATAGGGAATATGCATGATTTTTTTTACAATAGCTTACATGTTTATATTATAATTGTAAAAAAAATATCCAGCTCCAAAAAACTAAAATTTAGTATAAAAAATATCTAAATATCAAACCGTCACGGATACGTTAAACACTTACCATTTCGCGTGCTTGGCGTGACGTCACAGTATGATATACATAGAGAATGAAGACTCAATTTGTAAGCGATAAAATCGCTAATTGCTCTATTATGATATACTCTGACGTCACATTCGGTCGAACAAATGGCGTGCGTTTTAACTACTTTGAATTTCTCACCTGTTTTTTGCACTTTTTAATAATTATTTTCTTAATCAAAAAGAAATACATTAAGAAATATTAATACTGAATACAGACTTAACTCAAAAGCAATAAAGATTATAAAAAAATATATTTCATCTTTATT